GGAGTGGGGAGTGGGAGGAGTCAGAGTCACGGAGGGAATCACCTGCCCTCCACCTTGAAAAGCAGAAATGGAGGTGTGTATATTCTATGCAGCGGGCACAACATGAAAAAGGTCCAGAAGGTGGAGGGGATATGCCAAGGAGGCAGGCAGCCTGCTGGTCACCCTGAGCATTGCCTCTCATCCTGTACAAGCCTGGAAGGCAGGCCTTTTCACTTTGTCTTAACTGTGAGAAAATGAAGCTCAGAACTTTAGGAGGAAACTGTCTAATGTCTTCTAAATAGACAGTCATGATTAAAACCCAGGCTTAATATATCCACAAAAGGATGTGAACAAAGATGTTCAGAGAGCTTTATTCATAACTAAAAACTGGAGACAACCCAAATGTCCATTAGTAAGAATAGGTGATGTGGTATAGTCATGCAATGCAATACAACTCACTTATAAACCGAGCTAGAAATGGAGATAAAATGTCACAAACTACAGCTAGAACAACGACATGGATGAATTGCCAAAAAAAAAAAAAAAAAATGCTGACTGAAAGACGAGACACAAGAGCATGGACTGTATGATTTCATTCCATGAAATTCAAAGGACAGGCCAAAGAAATGCAGTGATAGAAACCAGGGGTGGCTGCCAGGAGGAACTGGCTGAAGGAGAGGACACCCGGGGCAACCATGTGGTCTGTTCCTGTGTGGTCTGCATTTTGTGTAAATAGCACCTGTTATTTCTGTGACTTTAAATAAGTGATTGAAAGTTAGATCCCCACTCTACGACACATTCACCACAGCCCCGTTCCTGCGCTCACTGCACCTGAGGCGGGCCAGGCCCCGGCCGGGCGGAGGCAGCTTCTGTGCAGAAGAGCAGGGAGAGGACCGCTGTGTGGCTGTGGGAAATCGCCTAACTTCTCTGAAGGCTGCCCTCCTCTTTTCAAAACCAAGACATGACAGTTGATGTGAGATACTCACGGAGGGACAGACAAGAAAGTTCTAGGCATGTGGTCATCACTGGTGTGATCTCCCGCAACAGCCCCACGGGTGGTACCGTGATGTCTCTGTTTTACGGAGGAGGAAACTGAGGCTCCCAGAGCTGCACTGGAAAGTCCAGCTGATACTCAGAGGAGGCGGCCAAGTCAGGATGTGGATCCTGCCTATCCCAGGTCAGAATTCCCACCCCAGACCCGGCCCCCATGGCCGTCCCTCCTAGTCTCAGGTGGGGGTTCGCAGTCTGCGCCCCTTGACAACCGCCTCAGGGCCCATGTTTATCACGTGTCTCTCCCAGGAGGTCAGCGCTGAGAGGCAGGGACTTGTTTCATTCGCTCTCATGCCCCAGGAACCAGGACTGCGCCTGGCATGGAGCAGGCACCACACAAGTCTCTGGGATGAATTCAGGGGAAAGTGAAAGATCTCCCTCCTAGAAACTCTTCTGCACTGTTGGTGGGAGTGCAAACTGGTCCAACCACTATGGAGAGCTGTGTGGAGATTTCTGGACCTACTAAACATAGAGCTTCCATAGGATCCAGCAATTCCACTCCTAGGTATTTACCCAAAGGACATAGAAACATCCATTCCAAAGAGCACCTGCACCCCTATGTTTATAGCAGCACTGTTTACAATAGCTAAGCTTTGGAAACAACCCAAATGCCCAAAAATAGATGACTGGATCAAGAAGATGTGGTACATATACACCATGGAATATTACTCAGCATTCAAAAAAGATAAACACATGCAATTTGCAGCAACATGGATGGTGCTGGAAGGGATCATGCTCAGCGAAATAAGCCAGAAAGAAAAAGAAAAATACCGGATGGTCTCACTCATAACAGGAATCTAGAAAACTTAAATAAGGGACCAGGAAAATGAATAACTATAAGAAAGTGAAAATCAAAATCAACAAAAAACTATGAACCAGAGACACTTTTGGGGGGGTGTGGAGGGAGGAGAGGGATTGGGGTCAAAATGGGGGGGGTGTTGAAATTGTATGGGGAATATAAAAATAAAATTTATTATTAAAAAAAAAAAAAAGATCTCCCTCCTAGAGACACAGGACGCTGGGGCACACGGCAGGAAAGCGTCACCACTTCTAGGGCCCGGGGCTGAGCAGAACCGGACCAGGTCCCTGCTCCCACCCAGCCCCGCCGCCCCCCAACCCGACCGCCTCCCTTCACCAACACTCCTGTCCTCGGCCACGGAGGCCGCAGGGGTGCATTAGTCTGGTTCGGAGCAGGGCAGGAGGCTTCATCCTGTCTGCGGCGCTGCCTGTGCCTCGGTTCCTCAATATGGAAGTGGGGCCACCTGCTACCTTGAGGGCGGCCAAGGGAGCCAAGCTTCTACAAGGCTGCGATGGACAGACAGGTCAGGCAGGGCCACGGGCTCCGACCACGGGCCTGGCCCCCAACACAGCCTCTGTCAGTCAACACAGACTCCCTAAGGCATCTGCTCAGACGAGGCTAGGGGCCTACAAGAGGCCCTCAGCCTCTGGATCCCGCAGGATGCCAGGGTCGGTCAGGGGCCTGGCAGGCACCAGGCCTGGCGTCTCAGGGTGAGGCCGAGAGGAGAGGTGGAGCTGGACTCGACAGGTGTGGGAGCCGGGGCGTGGGCGCTGCTTCAGCCGCGCTGCTATTAGAATCTGGGGACGCAGGGGCCTGGGGCCTGGCCTCCAAACAAGGAAAGAATCCTGGGAGGTGTCTGATCCTCCCCACACGGCCGAGGTAATCACCGGTTAAACCTACGTCTACTGAGAGATCTAGTCCGGCAATTAGTGCATCAGAACAAGGAAGGCCCTCTGACAGCTGGCCGGGCCGCCCACAGACCCGGCCTCCACGAACAAAGATCTGCTTGTTAATCCCACAGCGTCTCAGGCCTTAGGTCTTAATGAAACACGCAGAGACAGCGTGGGAAGAAGCTGGGACTTGGAATCCAGGGCCCCGATGGTGCCATGGAGGTGCTGTGGGGCCCCGAGCTGCCGTTTAACCTCTCTGAGCCCATGGAAAGGAGCTGGCAAATCAGCTTCACGGTTTACTGCATGGATGAAACAGGACTTAGAAGACGGTGGGCTTCAAAGCTAGTTTCATTCTCAAAATAGGCAGAAACACCTTTTGGTTGACTTTTAAAATCTGCTTCTGGCCTTCACATGTATTTAGGGCGGTGGGGATTTCCCACCACAGCCACACCCAGACTGGGCAGCAGCTGGGAGGGAAGGGGTCAGCAGTGACCAGGCCCAGGTTCACCCTAGAAGGACGGGGGCTGGCTTCCTGCTCCTCTCCCTCCATTAACCACCACAGCAGCACTGAGGATGCCCCATTGACAAGGAGGGACCTGGGGTTCAGAGAGGGTGAGGGACCTGCCTAAGGCTGCACAGCAGAGGCTGGGGGGAACCAGCTGAGCAAAGGGTACTGTTCCATCCACAGTGGCAGCTCCCACCAGGGCTGCAGGTCTCGACCCAGAGGATACTGGGGGAAGCAGGAGGTGGCTGCTTCTGATGGGTGGGCCCCTGGGAGCATCCTTGGAGTGACCACATCTGGGGTTCTGCATCCAGTGATCCTGAACCTGGGTCAGCCTGTCCTGAGGACAGTGCTCCAGCCCTCAGTCCACATATGGTCTCCTCTGTCCCCAGCCCCACCCTGTCCTCTAACCAGGAAGGCAACCTCCAGAACCCACAGATCTAAGTCCTGTGCGTGGCACTGGGCTCCCACCACTGACCTGGCTCCTGCTGCTGGCTCCCCCACCCCCGCCCACCACCAGCTCTGGGTTGGAGGGACAGAAGACTCCTCAGCTGTTCCATCTTCCTGCCCTATTGGTGGGCAGCAAGTATTAACAGTTGAGGACCCCACAACACCCGCGGCTGCTCTGTCCCCGGGGTTCCTCTGCCCAGACCCTCTGAAGCTCTCTCCGCCCTGAAAGCCTGTCCTCCAGGAGCAGAAATGCCGCCTCCTGAGCACTGCATGGAGGGCCGAGCAAGCTGGGCCTCTCCTGGCTCGACCAGGTAGAGGCTGAGCTATCCTGGGAGTGGCGCTGCCTCTCTGAGCCTTGCTGCCCTCCCCCAGGAGATGTCCTCCCCTGTCCTCCAGGGTTGCTAGGGGCGGAGCGGGATGGCGCAGGGGACGGGACGGGCGGCTGGTGGCCTTGGCAAAGGTGCCTCCCGTGCTCAGCCCACAGTTCTCCTCACCTCAGCGGCTGCAGTCCTGGGGCCCCTGGGCCTGCCCGTGCATGGTGCCCGCCCAGCCCACACCCCTGCCCCTGCCCCTCACTGGCCACGGACAGGAGGCAAAGCGCATGGGCAGCAAATATTCATGACTAGATGAAAGAATTTGATAACGGAGTTTGAGAACTTGAAGGGGAAATCGCTCCAGGATCTGGAGGAACATTTCCGCCATGAGGAAAAGCTGGGCTCTGCCTGGGGAAACATTTAGGAGGGTCCACGCTGCCCACGGAGCCACGCCACAGGCCCGGACACGCTCTCCATGCCACGCCACGGCCCGGGCGCGGCCCAGGTGACAGCAGAGCCCGCCCAGCAGCGCCCAGTCGGCTTCAGGCCCCCGCGCCCCGGCCCAGCCGGCTCCAGGCCCAGGCCCCGGTGCAGGGAGGCGGCTGCTGGGCTCGGGACCTCTGGCTTCTCCTGCCGGCTCCATCCCGCGAACTTTGGCACTGTCCGCGGCGCCGCCCTTGTCGCAGCCACAGCTCCAGGCCGCTGAGTACTGGCCTCTCCCCAGGCCCGGCCGGCTCCCCGCTGCCCAGCCCACCCCACATCACGGGATGCTCACCCTGGGGTGCGCGTGGGGCGGGGCGCAGGTATGCGCCCCCGGACCCACCTTCCTGCCTTGGCCTTGCTCATCCACAGCCCAGCCCCCCAAATCCTCAGACCTCGGCGCCCCGACCCGGAGGGTCCCGCTCCCGGCGGCGGGTCCCCCTCCCAGGGGGGTGCCAGGAGCCCAGGCGCGCGAGGGCGCGGGACGGCGCGGGGGTCGCCCGGCCCCCGGGGCTCGACGGCCGCGCGGGACTCACCCATGTTGACGAAGCTCATGACCAGGTCGGCGCGGCCCAGGCGGCGCTCGAGGGGGCCGCCGTCCTCGCCGTCGCCGCCGGCCATGGCGTGGTACAGGTCCAGCATGAAGAGCGGCGCGGACGCGGGCAGCCGGGCGGCGGCGGGGGGCGCGCGGGGCCGGGGCCGCCCGGGCAGCCCGAGCACCGCCAGGATCTCGCGCTGCATGTCGCGGCGCTCGCGCGCGCCCAGGCGCCGGGGCGGACACCCGGGCGGGGGGCGCGGGCCGGGGCCGCCGCCGCTCAGCGCGCACAGCGCCAGGCCCAGCAGCCAGAGCGGGCCGGGGCGCGCGGCCATGGCGGGCGGGACCGGGCCGGGCGCTGCCCCGCGCGCATCCGCTCCGCGGCGGGGCGGGGGCCGCGACGCCCCGACGGCGGCCGGCGGTCCGGGCCCGGCCGGGGGGACGCGACGGGCGGCTGCCGCGGGCGCAGCGCGGTCCTGGGGTCGCGGCTCCGCACCTGTCGCGGCTCCGGGCCGGGCGGACGCGGGCGGAGCTGCCCTCGGGGCCGGCGCCCCGGGCGGGTCTGTCTGTCCCGCCGAGAGGGCGGCCGCGCGGCCGGGGCGCGGGGAAGCTCCCGCTGCCCTCGCGGAGGATCGGACGCACAAGTGCGGCCCCGCTGGACTGGCCGTCGGTGGCCGCTGTCCGCCGCCCTTCGGGCCCGCGCCCGCCGTCGGGTTCCGCCCCCTCCGGCCCGACCCACGGGGCGCAGGGGCGGGGCCTAGGCCGAGAACCGACGCCCCGGGAAGGGGCCCGCGGTCTAGGTTCGCAGCCAGGAGATGCGACCTGCTGGTGGCTGGTGGCTGGTGGCTGGTGGGTGGGTCGTGGCACAGGACCCAGCCCAGCCGTCGAGGTCAGGGACGTCTTGGGCTGCCCTCCCAGGTAGTGGCCGTCAAGTATCGGGCTTGGGACCTTGAACTGGGGTCACCAGGGTATTGGCTCGTGGTGAAAGCATGAACCTGTGCTCGGGTGGAGTGTGTCCTTGTGCTTCCTCCACCCGGCTGCGGCCTGGAGTGTTAGGGTGACCTGGCTACGGTGCCTTGGTGCTTGGTGTGTGGTCCTAGGTCCAATCAGCCTGTCTGGAGAGGCCCCCGGGTGCCAGCCGCCTCCGGTGAGTGGGACCCTTTTCTCTGCCAGCGGCCGCCCTGCCTGGGTTCCCTGACACCGCAGGTCCTCGCTGGCCTCCCAGCGCCTTCCCGGGCTTTCCCTTGCAAGCTTCTCCGCCTGGGGCACCTGCTTGCTCGCTGCTCCGATGAGTCCACCATAAGCTCCAGGGCAGCGCCTCCCCGGCCATCGCAGCTGCTCCCGTGGCCTGCTCTGTGCCCGGTGCTGATGCACCTGGGAGATGCCCACAGGCCCCAACAGGAGGAGCCAAGGGGCCCTGAGGCCCTTCCCCACCCAGGAAATCATCTTTGTGTATTTTAATGGTCCCACCCCTCAGTGACTCCAAGAAAAGATTTGTCATGGAAATTCCTGATTGACTCAGCTCTCTGCCCTTCCTAGACAATCTCTCACTTTATTCATTTATGATGAAGGTGCTGCCCTCTGAGAAAGTAATAACCAGACTGAACTGGAAGTCTGGGAAGGATTGGCCTGGGATGCCAGGAAAGGTCAGTGGGAAAAAGTTTTCCAGGCATAGGAAGTAGCTTGTGTCAAAGGCCTGAGAACTGGGGACATTAGTAAGGACAGGTGACATTAGCACTTGTGCTATCAATGCTGTAATGATCATACATTGTTAAGGGGTAAATACTACTTAACCCTCCCACCCCCTGCCCCCCACTTCCTTTTACTAGGTAAGGAGACTGAGCCACACAAAAGAGGTTCAAAGACCTCTCACACAGTGGAGCCGGCCTGGAGCAGGTAGTTGAGCTCTTGCAGGTGAGCAGGTCAGTGGGGCCTGGAGACCCAGCAGGGCAGATGGCGATGGTGAGGCGGGAGGGACTGGTAAGGAATGGACTACAAAGGACCTACAGGGAGGCTAGATGAGGACTCTGGACAGCAGGTAATTATAGTGCTCCAATGTGGATTCAAGACAAATGTCAATATAAATTAGGAAGGTCAACAAAATAAAAAATTTCCATGATCATTTCAAACTTTAAAACAGGATTTTTTTTATCCCACCCCTAAAGAAGCATAAGACTTTTTATATCAACTTTTTTTTTTTTAAGATTTATTTATTTATTTATACAAGAACTGGGTACAGTCAGAAGCGCGGGAGGGTGAGAGAATTCACCAGAGCCAGAGCGGGGAGCAGAGCAGGCAGAAGGACCGAAGTACACTGCTGAGGGGAGCAGCGGGCGGCAGGAGAGGTCTGCGCGCCATGTGGGACCCTCCTCCGGTGGCCGGGGAGCAGCCGGGGATTGAACCAGCACTGCAGAAGCTGCGGGCAGCTTCGCAACCCAGCGCTCAACTGCTGCGCCACCGGGGAGGCCCTATATCAACTTTTTAACACCTATTTGCTGGGATCTTAAGTACATGCCTAATCTGCCTTTTACCTAAGTAAATTTCCACACCTTGTAAACCTGAATAATGATGTTGCAACGTAGCTAGTGATGGTGCTGAGTCAAGACCAGAGCCTGGCTTTGGAGGGAAATACGCGCTGGCAGGAGGGAGACTGGAGTCAGGACCTGCAGCTGGAGGCAGGTACAGTAATGGGTGGGCGATGACAATGATCCTCCATTAGTGATGGGCAGGAGGGCAGAGACAGCTGCTAGGAGGCTGAACCCACAGGGCCTGGTGATCTATGCAGAGGTTGGGGCCATCAGAGGTGTCCCAGGAGTGTCTGAAGCTCCTGCCTCCCCCCAGGAGGTTCTCTGTGCCCCTGGACACCCGCAATCCTTGTTGAGTCCCTACCATGTCAGTAGGGGCCCCACATCTAGCCTGTAATTCTCAGGTTGGGTGTGGGACATGCTGGGCCCCCACGGGACTGTAAGCAGCCCAGTGCTGGATGGTTCTTACCATAATAGAAATCATGTATCTCAAATTAGGACGGGTGGAGAAAGCTGTGTTCTTTCAGTAAGCCCTACGCCACCGTGGGCTGCTCTGTGTGTGTCCCCAGCCAGAGATGAAGCCCACCTGGTGCTGAACAGCCCCCACTCTGACAGGGTCGGAGGCACTTCCAAAGCAGAATGACAGCCGAGCTTGAACAAAGGGGCCTGAAAGTGCCTGGGGGGCAGAGGAAGTTGGGCCGGAGAAATGTGAGTGAAACCCTAGAGCTGCAGAACTGGAGGGAACTGAGATGGGGGTTTCCTGGAGAAAGAAATATCAAGCCAGGGATTTCCAGCCACCTTGGCACATTACTCCAGGCCATTGTCATCTCTACATGGGGTTCAGGATTGTGCAACAGAGACGGGGATTAAATGGGAGCGTATATAGAGGACTTAGCAGTGACTGGGACGTAACAGGCACTTGATACCTGTAGGCTGGTGTTATTGCATTATTTAAGGCCCAGGAATTTGTATTCATCCTCCACCCTAGCAGACACCAAATTTGTATTACTTGCTTATAAATGTATCACAGGGCTGTTAATTATAACTTTTTTTCCTGGCATCCTTCTATTTCCTATATGGTCTTGCATATAGGTGTTACTGAATCTGCAGATGCCACAGCTAGCTGAACTTTGTGGTAAAGACCAAGGGGGAAGCCCGAATTGCTTGGTATGAAAACAAGAGACCATGGCCCAAATCTATAAGCTGTTTTCAGCATGCTTTGCTCTGGGAGGCTGAAAGGGATGAACAAGTTTGGATGAAAACACTATGCTACACAAAATTCTGGCCGCTTCAAGTCACTCAATTCCAGGGAGAATAAAGTACGCACTTCCTTCAGGCTGCCAGTTCCTTTAACCTGGATACGTGGTGTCAAACTTGCATCTACCTTACCAAGTGCCCGTATCTCAAGGGTATGGCCTAATGATCAAAAATGCAGGCCTGTTTTAAACCCTCTTCATCTCAAGTTCTACTTCCTGCTATTAGTTAATATTGGGCAGTTTTAATTATTATAAAGCCAATGAGAGCTGGGGGAAATAGAAGTGTGAGAGAAAGGCAAATCACTCCCATGTCCTTTGCTGCTTAAGTTCTTTTATCTGTAAAACAAAGGAGCTGTATCTGATGGCCAATTTTGACTCCACCTCTGAAATTGGTCATTTAAAGAAATCTCAGTATTCTTATACTTGAATTGGGACATTGGTTCTATTTTCTCAAACCCCAAATCTTTGTGGTTTTAGTATGAAAATCTTCATATTGGTATTTGCTTGTGTAAGAGGGCAGGACACCAGATAGACTTATTGATAACCTGCATTTTTTTGTTGCTTTGTAAAATTAACAATGATAAACAAGAAAAAATCTTGAGCTTCATAAATTATCCATGAAGATCTTTTGATCTGAATAATGTATTTAAGTACTAACACACCATCATACCCTAGAGTGAATTGTTCTATATAAGGTAATGGTTGAGAAGAAAAATCAGGGCATACAAAATATTTGTTACTGCAAGCAATTTTAATACAAAAGTGTGTCTTGTTTTTAAACAGTTCATTGGTAGAGCTTCAGTTTCTGCCTCAATTAAAACCAATTGAGATAATCACACAGCAACATGGTCGGAGCTGAAGAGAAACAGCAGCTAAAAAACAGGAGCCCCAGACAGCCCCTCTTCATGGCCGCTTGGTCAGTTGACTTTGTCACGCACAAAAGAAGACGGAAGCAAACGGGACTTGTTAACGAGTGTGCTGGTGAACTCCTTTAAAGGATGAGCAAGTGTTGTCTCGTGTCCACATTTTCAGAACAGGCTCATGGATGGAATTCATTCCTCAGTTTGTGGGAAGTTGATTGACCATTTAAATAAATAGCAAAAAAATGCAGATAAACAAATCTGTAATTCACAATGCCACCAGGGAGTCCCCCCTCGCCCAGGGGACTGGTGGGCATAGGAGTTATTGGTAGCCAGGCTGGAAAGTTACAAACCAGGACTCTTAAAAACCCCAATGTTCTGACTTTTTTTTTTTGAAACAGTTACATTTACCCCTGAATTCTAGCAGCTATTTGTCCTTTAAACACCCAGTACTGAAACAGTATTCAAAGACAGTATTGCAATGAACCCCTTTTGCTGTATCATGTGCAAATGTTACCTAGATGAGGTTCCCTCTCTTTAGCTAAAACCACACAACATTAAAAACAATGGAAAAGCAATTATAAGTTCCCTCCCCTTGGTTCTTGCTAGTTGAGGTGTCTGTGATTTACAAAAAAAAGAGTTCCTTAAACACTGCAGGAGTCTTTTTTTTTTTTTAATATAATTTATCTTGCTGAGATAGCAAGTCAAATTTATAAAGAAGAATGTATTTAGGAATAATCCTAAAAGATAAAGCAGGTTTACAACCCTGCACCACGCAGAAACCCTATTTAGAGGCTTTTCTTTTTTTAATACACATTTGTATTTTGACCTTTTCACTTGTTTTTGTCAAATATTTCATTTCTGGGCCCCATCAATCACAGGGTTACCAGGAGGCAAATTTTATCTACATAAATATTCACATGAAAATAGTAACTTACAAAAAGAAAAAAAATAAGGCAGCTTCATAACACAAGTATTCTTTTACACTTTTAACAATATAACTTCTCCCATTCAGAATAAATATACACCCAATGTATGGAGTAGGATTCAAAGTGGAAAGAGGCTTGGGGGTGCTTGTACAGTGTTATCGCTTGGGACCCGGAGTCCTGGGGGAGGCAGTGGTGGTCTTCTTAGACATGGTTGGGATTTTGGAAGGCTTGCTGAGCCCTCTCCTGGAGCTGCCCTGGCCTCCCGTGGCGCTGCTTTCTGAAGTGTCTGAACAGGCCGACTGTGTCTCTAACAGGTCAAAGTCAGAGGCATCACTTCCTCGCCGGCTGCTGGCCCGACTCCCGGCCCGACTTCCGGCTCGACTCCCAGGGCGACTGGCTGACTTTTTGGGGTCTGGAATTAAAGAATAGAGCAGTAGACTTACTAGAGATGGCACGGCAGGGAGGTGGGAGTGTGTGTGGAGAGAACAGTGGCCAGCAGCCAGGGGTTTTGGTCCTAATACCATTTGATGTGCTGCGTGACTTGGGGCAAATCAGAACCTTTCTGGACCCATGTTTCCTCACCTCCACAGAAGTCACTGACCCCTCTCTGTCTTGGTGATTCTACGCGAGAATCCTGCCTCCTGAGGGTTACAAGCCACTTCTGTCACCATCACTGCTACCTTATGTGCCCCCAGAGCAGAGCTGAGCAGGATGCTCAGTTGTCTTGGCACCAGCAGATGGGGAATGGGGCAAAGTGAAGGGCAACAGCCAGGAGATGAAGCCAGATTCCCAGGTTCCCACAAGGCATGTCAACAGGTGAACAGAGGTGATCCTTCCCTGACTTTCTCAATATGGGGTGCTAGGAAAACAACTAGCAAACCACTGCCCAATGGGGGCTCTTCGGGAAGCGCTTCCTTTTACTTTCTTTCTAATCTGACCTTTTCTGATTAAGGGCAAATGGTGGGGCTTTGGCTGTGGAAGCATCCGCTCCCCGCAGGCAAGGCTAGAGCCAGCTGTAGTAACAGGAGTTAAAGAGAAGGTCAGCTGAAAGCCCGCAGGTCTCTCTCTCTGGGCATCACCCCTCACTGCTTGCTTTAAAAATAAAAAAAAAAAAGATTTATTTTATTTATACAAGAGCTGGGGTACAGGCCAGAGGCATGGGAGGGTGAGAGGATTCACCACGGAGCGGGGAGCAGAACAGGCAGATGACCAAATGCATTGCTGAGGGGAGTAGCGGGTGAGACAGGAGAGGTCTGCCTGGCAATGTGGGAATCTCCCTGGCCGGCTGGGAATTGAACCCGCACTGCAGAGGCTGCGGACAGCTTCACAGCACTGCGTTCAACCCACTGCGCCAACGGGAAGGCCCCTCACTGTTTGCTTTTGGGGACCAGTGAAGCATTGTTGACAGGCTGCAGTTTCCAAATTTCTAGCCCTGTCATTCCCCAACCTCTCATCCCGATGCAGGGGCTGGCACTTACCTGCCCGATTGGTTTTGGCACCTGTGGAGGCTGGGGAAGAACTATTGCTAGTGTCACCGGTGAGAGATGTTCGACTAGAATGAAAAGTTGGTGTTGGTCGTTTCAACTTGCTGCCTGTTGATGGAATAACCTTGGGAAAAAAAATTAAAAGACCATATTTACTTGGTAAAATCTCTTAACAGAAATTGAATTTTAAAAGGCCCACTTTGGCCTCCTTATGTTTAATTGATTGAAAAGCAAATTAAAAGTCCAGGAAAGCAGAGATTCATTTTGAAAGTATCCTAGGCCATGCATTTTGATTGTTCCCAAAATAAAGCTTTTATGTTCCAATTTAAAAGTTCAAATTGTCTTCCAATAACTTTCACCTTACAAATTTTCACTAGAAATGGGGAAAAAGGTCCTCAAATGGTAGGACTGTAATGGTTGTAATGAACAGAAATATGGCAGATGAGTAAAGGAAAAAATGCAAGTAACTCCAAGTATCAAAGTTCTGGGCTTAGAAATTTGCAATATGATTTCTAGTCCCACGTGCTAAACATGGAGCCCCAGGTAGCACCCCAAACCCCATCACTGGGTTGGTGCACAGTCTGTAACCAGGTAGAATGACTTGACTTGTGGATCAAATGAATAATCAGGAATACAGAGTGCTGCTACCAGGCAAGCTGAGCCTAGGAGCGGGGCTGTGCTGCTGGGAATGAGGTTCTGGATGGGGAGCAAGAAGCCCAGCTTGAGCCTGGGCTCTGCGAATTATCTAGATTAACATCTGAATCTTTATTTCTCCTTCAGGAAACTGCAGTGGGTCCTGCCTCTCTACTTCCATTCCAGTACACTCCCTCTTGTTCCACCACCTCAGCTACACTGCTCTTCAGTCCCTACCCCCACTTCCATGGGACTCATCCCTCATTCCTTTGGGCCTGCTTGGCAAAACAGCCTGTCAGAGGCCATGGCCAGACTCTGCCATGTGTAACCTCTGCCTCTCTTCCCCTGCAGCATTTTTGGCTCAGCACCCACAGCTACCCAATCCGTGATCTGCTATTTGTTGTGTGTCTCCTGCAGTCAAGTGTACATTCCATAAAAGCAGGGATGACACTGTGCTCACGATCACATCCTCAGCACCTAATGCAGTGTCTGGTGTGGGAGACTGGGTCGACAAAGACTTGTTGGATGCACAGGTGGTGTGCAGAAGAGGCACTTCTGAAACCGGGAAGAGCCGCAGAGATGCACGTTATCATTGCTGTTATAGTGGGAGCTACGTGTCCTGCCTGAGTGTTATTTTTTTTTGAGATAGTAGTAAGAAATATGGAGAAAGAATATTTTAAACCTGTTTTGAATATCACTTGTGCCCAGCACATCTTTCTAATTTTCCTTTGAAATCCACTGTTTTCCGGGACCTTTAAGATGTTTATACAAATAGAAGACTAACACAACCCATTTCATTATGTTTCTTGAATTTCTTTAATTTGTAAAGAAAAAGCCAATGCGACAGAAAGTGATTAACGTCCAAGCACAAACCCTCCTGGCCTACACAGGAGGCAGAGCACCAGTTTCAGAAGCTTTTGTTTGTGAGCACTGCTGCTAGGAAGGCCTCAGCGAGACCTGGGACTGCGCTGCCAGAGCAGGACATGGCCTGGCTGCAGACCACCAGCTGGACAGCGCAAAATGCAGCAAAACCAGAGGTAAAAACCTTAGGATAAAACAAAAAAGCTAACCTATCAGGATTCTATGAAAACCAGCACTTCATAATGAAAACATATAAAATTTTATAACTTTTGAGAAATTCATGAAACTGGAGCCATCGTGGAGGAAGAAAAGCAAGACACGCTGGTTGCGTCTTGGGGCCTTAGTGGGAGCAGCCCCCAGGTCGAGCTCTAGAACAGGCAACTTTCAGAACTGGAGCTCTAGCGTTGTCCACTCGCAGGCACTGGCTTCTTGTGCCTCCTGCTTTCTGTGGCTGAAGCGTTACATGTCTGAAGGTGAAACTATCTTTTGAGGCACAAGAACCCAATGTTTCCCAGCAGGAGGAGGATACAAAATCCTACTGCCATCAGAGAAGCAGCGAGCCCATGTTTTGTTTTGGAAACATATGGCTCTTCCAAAAGTGCTTAGCATTTAATCACCGCGCTTGAACATGCTTAATTGCTGGCATGTGTATTCAAATCAAGGCTGCAGAAACCCAACTGAGTCTGAGCCTCAGAGCAGTGTTCACTGATACTGTGCCTGGCTGAAGTGGGCAGCACCCACGCCATGGGCCACTGTGGTGACACCACCCACCGTGGGGCGTGGCTCGGGACGGGAGTGCCAGCCACTCTTCTATTCTGAGCAGAGATAGAACATTGTTGGACACATGCACTGGAGCTGAATTTCAAGTGTTCATAACTCGTCTGTGTAGCTGACATTTGGAGACACTAAGAGGACTGTATGAACAATATTGATAAACACATCGCCAGGAATGACCACTGTTTATCACTCTGAACAAATATCATTCTAAAGATTGTTAAACAATCCAGTTTTAGACATTTCTTAGTCATCTCCAATTTTGGTGAATCCGAGTTAGAAACCCCTGAAAAACACGTGATTGGATGAATCAGCTGTGAGAGCGAAGCACCACAGGATAGAAAAGTGCAAGGACTCGTGTCCGGAAGAGGAGCCGGTCAAGTTCTTGGCATTAGCGAGGGTGTTGTCTTGGCTGTGTCCTCAGCCAGCATAGCCATACTCTACCTCGGGGCTGGACAGCTGGAAGTCAGGATAATGGCTGTCCCTGACAGGGGTGCCAGCTTTACTGTTTACCAACCAGGGTTTGTCATAACAGCGAGAGAACTGAAGTGGAGTCTGTGAAATGGAAATCCAAAGGGAAGGGTGGGAACAATTGAAAGTGGAACAGAAAGGGAGCAAATTGAGAACATAAAAAATAAATAGGAGACACTACATTTTAAAGAAACAGAAAACAAAATGCATATCAGTTCAAGGGGATGAAAGAGTCCAGTGGAAAGGTAACAGCACCCTTCATCCGTAACCCATCACAACAGTCACTTCTCTGCCGGCTCCGGCTGCACAGACAGTGCCTGGATTTTCAAAATTAGTGAGTCTGGATGGGCTCAAATTCAAACTGGGAATGGGTGGAAAGAAGCATTTTTGACTTAAGACCCAAGGAAATATTTTAATAAAAGCCCTTTCTAGTCATCCTAAAGGCCCTGGTGTCTGTGTGCCAGCAGGGCCTGGTCAGCCTGCTCTAGGTAGAGCCTGGTCTGCACGGCTTCACGGTATTCTCAGTGGAGCCTTTCCATGGCTATACTGCAGAGAACAGCTACAAAGAGGGGGGTGGGGAAAGCCATGCTGGAGGTTATGCGTACCTTGGTACCACTGGCTGGGGTGGCTGGAGAAGATGGCATGGACGTACAGCTGTGGTTACTCTGACTGGCACTTGAGCTGGAGCGGGTAGGGGAGGCTGCCCGGGAAGATGGCTTCGATCTTCGACCCCGTGATCGGAAAGGTGTCATTCCCTGTGAAGCCCCCTCTGGTAGGATGAATTTCTCTCGAAGTTCGATGTTAGTTCTACCTCGTGCTAAAAAGGCAATAAACACACACACACACACACACACACACACACACACACGCACAATATGAGTTAATCTTAAAAAATTTATCTTTGATGGTCATACAGCTGCTTGGCCCCATGATAACAGTTATCTAAGTGATAGGTCTAGTATCTCTATGCTTTCTTTGAAAATAGGCTTCAGTTCATGATTTATCAACCTTGTCATCAGTCTGACCCATGGCAGACACATTAAGTAATAAGGCCCTTGGTTTGCTGTGATAAAGACGGCTTTGCGTCCTTCCGCTGTCCCAAGCTGGCCTTGCCACTGTGCCCTGGGGCAAGCACACTGTAACTGGTCAAGGGAAAGCAGATGCGGCGGTTCACAGACCTCTGAGGTTAAATCAAAACCTCTTTTCTCTCTCACAGTACATGCGTACTTTTTCTCAACTTTTATAGGTTATGTGGTCACGGAACAGTGGAGAAAGACCAGTCACTGAAATCAACATGTCTGACTCCTGCATTTGAATTCAATTGGCAACAACCCCAAAGAAAGGAGTACAGGACTGAGGACAGTAGGAAAATCAGGACAGGATCATGAACAAGTAGACATGTCAAAGGAGAGAGAGAAAGATCAGATCATGCATGAAACTTGCCAGTGAGAAACTGTGAGGCCAAAGCCTGAGAGCTAGAGGCAGCAGCACGCAGCGCTGCGGGCCACCAGGAGCCGCCCTGCGACTGCCTGAGCCATTAGAGCAGAACTTCAGTTTCAGGTTTGGTTAGAAGAGACGGCGTACAGCCAACATAAATGTGAAATGCGAGATACTACTAATTGACAAGAAGTAACTCCTCTGGAGTAAGTCTATAGATAGCCTCACACGGAAAGGTTATCCTGAATAACCGCCTACCTCCACATCCACCTAAACTGTCCACTGTTTAGCATATTCTGGACAGATCTAAACAAATGCACCTGCTGGAGAGTGCTGGGAGAGGGAGCCTGATAGACAAAATGTCATTCTTTTTCTATTATAGATTGTCTACCTTGATCAGAAATTACAAGTGTGGGACATTTCGGGTAATTATGTCTACTCTGTTCTACCCAGCCTAACGTGTGTTCAAGGAATTTGAGGAACTGTGACAGAATCAAATTTTAAATCAGGTAGCATGGGGCTTCGAGCAGAGTGGCTCTAATTTCTTTCTTTCCTTTTTTTTTTTTTTAAAGATTTATTTGTTTGTTTGTTTATACATGCACTGGGTACAGTCAGAAGCGCGGGAGGGTGAGAGAATTCACCAGAGCCAGAGCGGGGAGCAGAGCAGGCAGAAGGACCGAAGTACACTGCTGAGGGGAGCAGCGGGCGGCAGGAGAGGTCTGCGCGCCATGCGGGACCCTCCTCCGGTGGCTGGGGAGCAGCCGGGGATAGAACCAGCACCGCAGAGGCTGCGGGCAGCTTCACAACCCAGCGCTCAACCACTGCGCCAGCACGGAGGCCCAGAGTGGCTCTAATTTCTAAAGCAAATCCAAATTACCAATATATTATGTTGGCAAATGCATCCAAGTGTCAGGTTAAATGGACTGACGTGGACATCAACACTGCAGAATCACAGCTGGGGCTCTGCTGCCAACTGGGATCAGTCCTGCTCTTGGCCTCCTCAGGCTCACCACAGGTGACTGCTGGTCTCGACGAGCTGTTTTTATCTTAATGGTTTGACTTACTGGGCCCTCGAACACTAACTAGGCTATCTCCTTCCTCTCATGGGGGCTACAACAGAACATGGCCCTCAAGTTTATCCCTTGGACCTCAGTTTCCTACTCATCCATTTTCTGGGCTTCAGTGCTTTCCTCTGTGTCTATGTAATACATACTCATATATGCTTTACATATATATGCACATTAAATAAAAAAATATCATGAACATTCCTCCATGATCTATGTGTCTCACATGATTTTTAACAAGCTGCAAAGTATTATTTTATCATGTGGACATCCATTTAGTCAACCAACTCATGCTGTATTTTACTTTGCTTACATTTTTTTAAACACTGATGACAACACTGTGATGAACTGCTTGTAAGAAGTTTTTGTGTATATCTGTGATGGTTTCCTAAGGGCAAACTTTCTATAAGTGGATTTGCTGGGGAGAAAAGGATGTAATTTAAGGTTTTGGATGCATGTCAACTAATCTCCAAAATTTTATACCAATGCAGTCTTCAAAATAATGTATAAGTATATTCAATTTACTTCACTCTGGCTAATGCTCACTGTATTGAAAGACTGTGTGTGTGTGTGTGCATGCATATGTATATTTGTGTGCAGGTAAAATCTGCTAATTTGATTTGTGCAAACCTCTCTCTGCTGGTGTCAAGCACGGAGTGGGACTACTAACTGCTCTTCCTGAAACACTCTCCTCCGTGGTTTCCACGCAGGGCCACCCCTCCCCGCTTCTCCTCCTTCCTCCCAACTTCTCCTTCCTGTCCCTTCCTCAACACCGACGTTCCCAGGGGATCTGCCTGCAGCCCTGTCCCTCTTGGACTCCGAGCCCGCATGAGCTAGTCCTGCGAGACTTCAGTGCATCAAGGGCCAAGCCTGATTCTTCTGCCCCCAGTGCGGCCCCTCCTGGAGGTCAGAAACTCACCTCCCATGGCCCCTGAGACATCACCTGTTGGTTCTACCTTCCACCACTTCTAGAATCCCTTGAGCCTTCCCATGCCCTCACACTCAGGGAGTGTGGTGGTCCATGCAGCACCCCCTCTGCCCTGCATGCACGACGGTCATAGGCTTCCAACAGGTCTCCTTGTCTCACATATCATTTTCTAGAACTGGGTTTCTAAGTAAAAACCTTATCTCTCTAATGGTTCAAAATCCTTTCATGGTCTTTCACTGCATATAGCAAAATTTCCCAAACTGAGATTTTGAGGAATTTCCTATTAGGAGTGTAGCTCACACTGCAGCTACATTTTGCTGTTTGGGACAGTCCTAGGCAACCAGGATTTTGTAAGCACTAAGAAATCCTGCAGTAAAGTCACATCTTTCACTCCTCAACCTGTGCATATCAGTATTAAACTATGTACTATCGTCAGTATAACGTTCCCTGTGGTCCAGACAGCCAAGGAAATGCAACACAAATGGGTACAAGAACCTACCCTTAATGGTATTTTAGAAGTCACAGTAATCCCCTCAGAGACCTGATGGCTTCAAAGAACTTTTGTCTTTGTGATGTTCATGACCTTCCAAATCACTTATTACAATCATGCCAGCCCTTAAGTGTTCACCTCCTAGCACAATCTTCTGTTTCACTGAAAGTAGCTCTTCCTGCTCATCACTATTTTGATCTCTCGGACAGTGGAGGAGTTCCTGACTCTGTAGTCAGTGGAACTGAGTGATCACTAAACTGGGAGGCCCTTCTGGACAGGTGGAGAGGAAAGCCATGCCTTGTCTTGTTTGCTCCTAGGGATGCTGAAAAAATCTTCTATGTTCCATAGAAAACAGCTACTAGACGGTGCCCCCAGGCTTCCCTGGGGTTCCAATTTTATGTTTGAAGACACACGCAGAGCAAGCAGTGTTGTCCATGGCCAGCAGCATATTACCGTAAACAGAGCAAGTAGAGCAGGCAGCAAACAGGCAACCAAAGATCCCCAAATGTCACATGCACCTTCTCTTCTCTTTGTTTAGACCAATCATACGTGACAAGAAAAATAAAGACTTATTAAAATCAACTTGGAAAGGAAACATATTTTACTGAGTGACAGTTAAAATTATGTATATTGCTTCTCATTTAAAACAATGAAAATAGGACTTTAATTTTAAAACTGACCACATCCTTTCAAGCTTCTCAGAACTGTTTATAAAATTATTATTTTTTAAAGGGATGCCTAACAAAAACTATCACTGTGGTTCACTGCAATGAATGCAGAGTGAGTTAAAATCAACAGAACAATTTATGGACAGATCTTAATTCAAGTGAGAAGTGCACTCTCTAAAAGCTTCAGAATGTAACTAGAAATCACTGCCAAAGAAATTAGGGAGCTGTACTATAAATATTTCTGCTAGGTTTGTGAATGAGCCTTAATAATTATGCATGCTGAAATAGTAACATGCACATCAAAAGGGTGGGTATGTTGGGGGAGGTGGCACATAGCCTCCCAGAGACACAGGAGCATATATTCTAAAGCAGGCTGCTTTGGGCTTGAATCCTGCCTCTGCCTGTTCCTATAGCCTGTCCTTTATAGCTACCTATCCTTGGGCAAGCTATTGAATTTTGTTATGCTTCAAGTTCCTAATCTGTAAAATGGAGCTAATGATAGTATGTGTACACCTTGTTGAGGTGGAAACTGTTATTTATATAGTACTTATAACAGTGTGTGGCACAGAAAAAGCTAATTTCTTAAATAGAAGCAACAAATACTAATCGATACTGTTTCAACAAGGGTATTTTATGCTCTGTCAACTTATAATAGTTAGAAAAATCAAGATTTGGTTGTGACAATGCATTCATAAAGGCAGCAGATACCACAGAGCCAAGAGATGCTATTGTTTAAGAAGCAAAGCCATTCTCAACAGGCTGGGCACGGAAACAGGGACAAAGCTTAAAAGCCAACCTATGGGAGACTGACTGGAAATTGAAGAGCTGGAATCAGAGCGCTTTATTTTATTCCCAGGATGGTGAACTAGGAAAAAAAATAAACATATACACACAAAAAACAGAGACAGTGGGAAACACAGAAACTGGTCAAGAAAGAAACTGGTAGACGCTAGGGGAACCTCCTGGTTCACATGCAGCTCTGCCAACAGGAAAAAGGAAGGAGCATAGCTGAGGAGATGGAGTGACTCAGACCGGTCATTTGCCCCTGGCTGCAGCCCTCACGCGCCTCTAGCTGCAGGTGCCACGTCACACGGCATCTACTGTTCTCTCCTGCTCTGGGCTGGCATGCCAGCCTTTCCATGTTTAGCATGGACACTACATGGCCCTGCTTAGGTGATCACCTATCTTAGAAGCGTGTGGGCTCGCTGCGAGGTGTTCCTTATTTCCCTTGTGGTCAAGGGAGCTCCTCAGACTTCTCTCCATGGAGGAGCTCAACACCTGAGTTTCACTCACAGAAATTATAGACCAAGGGTTGGGGAGCCCTACCAGGACCCTAGAGGCCTCATCAGGCTCCTGTCTAAGCTGGTGTTAACTCTGCAAACTGGAACACTCGATGACACCAATACCTTTCCTATTTCCGTTACTGTGTTCCTCTAAATCTGTCTCCTCTGACAGCATCAACCCCTCCTGCCTTCTCTCCCTGATCTCAGCTGGCACCTTGAGTTTGAATCTGTGCTAGTGGGACAACATCTGGGAAGCAAGCTTAACGACAAAATACCAAGCAGACCCCACTACCAGCATTTCCTGTAAATAGTGAAGTGCAGCGGTGAGGGCGTACCTAAAACGTGGTTCATGCTCAGGTCGGTCCCTTACCTCGGCAGGGGTCATTTTTCACTAAGAATTCATCCAGGGCCATCCATCCTCCACCGACGCGGACCATCACTGTGCTGCGCAGGATGCGGACCAGCCGCAGCTGCTGGGAGTCCCCAAACTGCAGGACCAAGGGGAGACTGGTAAGCATGCCTGAGTTAGCCTGGGCTTTCTTTCCAGAGCAGACTGTATTCAGAGGGAATGACAATTTGATAGTTTTGGGTGGGCATTTTTAACTCTTGCAATTTTCAGAAAGAATTTAAATTACGATAAAGTTAACGTTCCAGTCACCCTTGACCCCTGCACCAAAAGGGAGGAGAGGGCACAGGACAGGTAAAATACTAGCTCACTTTCTTTTAAAGATTCTCCCCAAATTAAAACCCACTTCTGTTAGGCCAGTTTGTTTTCATGGTGAGATTGATGTCAACTTCTGAATACAGTGTGCTTAAAAAACTACAGGAAGTAATTTTAAGCTGAAGGAAAACCTTGCAAAGCATCATTATTATCACAAGCTTAGAAGGAAATTTGATTTTCTACATTGTATTTTCAGAAGTAAACCCAAAGCATTCTCTAATTGTGATGTCACCAGCAGAAGTTTCTTCAGCTGGACAAATGATTATAATACTTATACTAAACTTTAGTTAAAAATTTAAGAAATCAAAATTTTAATCTACCATATTGATTATAAATAGTATTTAATAATCATTTTGGGATGTTAAGTATGATTTCTGTTTATTTTTTGCTTGCCTTAACATTCCCACTTCTCATCCATTAACACTTCGTTTCCCACTGTATGAATTACCTTCTTCCCAAACTAAAGAGGTAGAAAGTCATACTAAGATCCCAAAGCCAAAACTGAACATCTGGAGAAACAAAATTTCTAAAATTATTTAATTCAAAGAGACTGTTTGGGGAGGGAGGGGAGAAGAGAAAAGAACTCATCACTTAACTAGGATTTTCAAAGTTATAAAGGAGGACCATAACTTTGAAAAACAAGGCACAAAAATGCCAGAAAAGCCCCCCTCAAAATTAACATATTTGTAGTAGTAATTCCCTGTGTTACTGTGCATGGACTCAAGTACACTGTTTACAGATAAGGGGGATGAAAAAATATCACACATACCCACCCCCCTCCGCCAGTCCTTTACTTTGAAAATAAAGTTCCACACCTTTCATCTCTTACAGTTTTAAAGTTTTTATACAGAGTGATTACAGCAACAGCCAAGTGTGGTATGAAGTGCACTGAGGTGGGGGAACCCAGAGGTGTGAGGAGAAAATGTCCTGTCCTGGGAAGGAAGCTGCCCCTTGGTCTCTGTGGGAGCCTCCTGCAGACGCTGTGCCCAATGAGTGAAACTGGGGGCGGACTGAGATCTAGCCATATCTAAGAGCAGTGATGGCCCAAGCCACTATTTGGTTTTTCTCTGGAGAGGTAAGGGGAGGAAAGAAATAAGGTTCATTCATCTTCCAGAGTGAATCAGGAAGGAACTCCCAGACATGCTTTATTCTTTCATTGCTGTGCCCAGTTATTTACTTGTTGGCATTTATTTCATTATTTTTTCCTCTTTAAGTTCTTACTATGAGGCTTTCCCTGAAAGATTCGCACTTGCTTCTGTGCAGCTGTGGGGGAAAGGAGTTTTGACCCAAGTCAGCAGCCAAAGTGGCTGGGGAAGCTGAGTCCAGCGTGAAGCATGGTGCAAGGGGTTACAGCAGCTCTGAAAATGTGGACCTACACAGACCAGGCAGAGCCGGGCAAAGTGGGACAAAAACCTCAGAACAGAATCAGAGGAGGTGACAGTAACTTTGTTTCCTTCTCTTAAAGGGAAAATCTCTGACAGCAACATTGGCTCTTGCAATGGCTCTGACGTGAGCAGTGTGGCCACAGGCATGTGGGACTTCAGGCCTCAGAGCCTTGTATATAAAGTGAACTTCTGTGGTCTACATTGCCATGCTGCTGGTCCAGGATGCAAAAAAGGAGGATGTCAGCACCACTTCAACTTCATGCCATCCTGACCAAAGAGGCATATCCTGCAAGTGCCCTTGGCTTTCTTATGCAATAGTTTATCTACAGCAAATCTCAGTTTTTGTCTTTTGTTTCTTTCTATCCTCTGATCTTCCCATGGCTCAGAGTATGACAGTTGTTAGTGATTACTGCAGTGCCCAGAACTGATTGGGGGCCTCCAAACAACTTGTAGTGTTCTTAATTTCATATAACAAAACAGACTTGACCCATGCAACTTCCTTCCATTTGAAGACACAGGACCCCAGAGCCCTCAAAAAGATCTAAAAGGTTAGAGTTACCAAGTGGAGTCCCAGGCATGCAATCTTTCAGCAAGTCTGACTTGATCCCCTTAGATTTTAGCTGCCTGGCCACAGGGGGGGCAAACCACAGGCCATGGTCATCATGTGGATTCCCACACTACACTTCTCAGGTACCTTCTGGTTATAAAATACAATGCAAGTATAACACAAATATTAATATATTTAAAGACACTGAGTACAAGTACCCCAAGGTTTGTTGCTTTGATGTACAATATAAAATTTTTACTAAAGAGTCTGATAGAAATCAGAACTGTGTTGTCCGGTATCCTGGCTTCCAATGTAGAGGTATGAGATGAGGCATTTTTTAGAACTGGATTGATGCTATAGTTTCAATTTTCTCTAAACAATATTATACATAACTCAGTCAATTTAACTTTCAATGTCAAATTTCATCTTAAAAAAAAAAAAAAAAGACCTGGACTATCAACACTAGTCCAGCCCGCAGGTTTTCTCCACTTGGTAAGACAACCCGATGTGACCCAGGCATGCTTCTGATTATGCCCTCTCCCCACAGCACAGAACAGGCAGCAGTAGTTACACAGCCCATTTCCACTGAGAAGGAGAAAGTTGCAAGGCACACTGTACCTGATTGCCGAGGAAGAACTATGGACAGTAAGAGTAAATGGAAATGGAAGAAAAAAAAAAAAGAAGAACATTTTGTCAAATTAACACTAAGGAATGAAAACCACACATTCACGTTACCAGTCTTTGGCATGGGGACACACTCTGACCATACTGACTGAGCTCCTGCCACAGTCACATGGTTTTATAAATTAAGACCTAACTTATTCCATCTGTTTTGCTCTGATGAATTCAGTTCCCTCATAGGTAATGGAAAAAAAACAAGACAATAAAACTCACAAAACAAGTGTGATTACTTGGGACTTTGTTAACTAGATGCCTTAGGCTGAATCTGTCACTTGACACTTCCACTGCTGTACTTGGAGGGAGTTTTCCATATATAGGGGGACCTGGTTTTCCTGTTTCTAACTTCGTGCATGTAATGGTGTGATCTCATATGGCTGTCTAGATCCTCTCTGTGAATCCATGGTTTTCCTTAGGACTTTAGAGAATCCCAATAAGCTGCTAAATGTATTACAGGAGTCCTATTTCAGACCCCTTCTATGACCCAACTCTGGTCCCAAAAGAAGCTCACACAGCAAAGTTCACTATTAGTGATGGCCACACTCAGCGTGGTTTTCCAGGGAGGACTATGGAGTCTGGCATCACCCCAGTGCATCCAGGCCCTATTTGGAGTCCAGCACAGAGCAGGCAGTGTCCCGTGGGGCCCTGACAGTTTCTCCAGCTTTAATGAGCCACTGAGGCTCATAGTGAACACCTTGACTGGGAAACCAAGCACAAGCAACTACTTGAGTTAGCTAGAATATGGCACTATTTTTCAGATGAAGCTAAGTAGGGTGTTAAACTTAGCCCAACAGGACACCTGGCACTGGCATCCAGAGCGAGGGGGGCCACAGTGGAGTCTGCTGGGTCAGACTGCTTTCACCTGTAAGGGGTGTGTGGGTGGGTGGGGGTGGGGGAGTGACCACCCTAAAGGCTGTTCTTCTTTTTCTTACCCGGTATTTATTCTCTCCAATCTGTTCCACCTGAAACCTTTTTGCACATTTGCACTGAGCCACTTGTCTTGTGACCTATTGGTATTAAAAAAAAAAAAAAAAAAGGTAAGAGGGGCAGAATAAGACCTCTTCAGAGAAACAAAGATTTTTGCATGTAAACAGAGACTCTATTCATTATGTATGTGTTAGGTATTTTAGGCTTTTGACACATCCATTTAACTTCTGTCCTGCATTAAAACGCATTTTTCTAACTAACTGGGATACTCAAGAGAGAGAGGTTATAATAAAAATTCCCAAGTAACTATTAAACACATTCCATCTGCTTCAAAATTCCTTCAGATAAATGTGCTATTATGCATGCATCATAATGAACTAACAAAGCAAATTATGAGCTAATGTGAAGTTCACCTTTGGAGTCCAGATTACTGGAAGTTGTCCTAGGGTGATCCAGGCCACTCCCAAGACCTGCCCCACTGCCTCTCCCTTCCCAGAAGCAACAGATGTGGGGATCTCTACATGCTACCAATAAATTTTCTATTTTCAATGTGACACAGTTTTTAACTAGGCAGAAAATCTGGCAAATACACATCACCTCAGACAGTACTTTTCAGTTCATCCCTTAATTTCTACATTTGAATACTACACCCTTGGATTCTGAGGGAGATCTAAGAGAGGAGTCCATTCTAAGCAACATGCAATCCGTGAACAGGGATGAATTGGTAAGGTAAGGTTCTTTGTAAGCAGCAGATTACTGCACAGATGCAACTCACTTGAGTAAAAGGTCATCAAGACTGAACTCAATAACCAGAAATCCTTTGGGCAATACCCTCAACAGAACTCCAGTCATCTCCCAACAGGTAAATCATAGGGCTGAGGTGGCAACTGCACCCAATCAGGTTCAGGACAGAGAAACTTATGGTCAGAAATGTACTCAAAATTCAACTCTTCTCCATACCTCATCTTCAATTTTATCAGCATCGGTGGTTGGTCGGTAAGCATCCTTGTTGGGATGGAGAGCAGCCACGAATTCATAGTAATCAATGTAGCCATCCCCATCTCGGTCAAAAATGTCAGCAACGGCGGTCATCTCCAGCTTGGTAGTAGGGAACTCTAGAGAAAACAAATCACATTTTGGAACATTAACTGGTTGATTGGAGGATATTTAAATAGTACTTGAAAGAAAAAACATTAATACCTTGATTTTTTTCTGAAAAGCAGTATGCTCACTTTAGAAAACTTAGAAGATATAAAATAGCATAAAGAAATAAAAACCACCCCAAAATACAGTGCCCAGAAACTACTCGCTGCTACGTTTTTGCTTTGCTTACTAACAGGTATACCAAAAAGTGTACACATCACAACTGTTCATGAACCTACCACCTAACTTAAAAATTCATCTATCCTGGGCCTCCCCGGTGGCGCAGCGGGTTGAGCACTGGGTTGCGAAGCTGCCCGCGCCTTTGTGGCGCTGGTTCGATCCCCGGCTGCTCCCCGGCCACCGGAGGAGGGTCCCACATGGTGCGCAGACCTCTCCTGCCGCCCGCTGCTCCCCTCAGCAGTGTACTTCGGTCCTTCTGCCTGCTCTGCTCCCCGCTCTGGCTCTGGTGAATTCTCTCACCCTCCCGCGCTTCTGACTGTACCCAGTGCATGTATAAATAAAAACAAACAAACAAATAAACAAATAAATAAATTTAAAAAAACCCTCTATTAAAAAAAAAATCATCTATCCCCTCCACTAAATATCCAATGATACTCAGATTTCAGGTTAATGATTTCAGACCAATGATACTTTAGAATTAACAGAATGAAGTTTTCATATGTTTAGATTAGGTTCTTGACAAACTGCTTTCTAAAAGGAAGCGTGAGTATTTATGGTAGCCAGAGTAATCTGGTAAAACGTAGAGTATATCGCTTTTCAGCTGAAAACCTCTGGTGGCTGCCTACTGTCTCTGGAATAAAATCTGATCTCTTCTCATGTGTCTGCCTACCTTTCCAACTTCATGTCTTACACTCTCTGAGGTCATGACAATCCAGCCAGTTTAACCTTCCAAGACTAGGAGATGCCAAGTTCATTCCCACCTCAGTGCTTTGCACTTGCAGTTCCCTCTGCTCTGTCTCTTCCCTGAAACCTCAACAGAGCTGGATTCTTCTCATGCTTTAGGTTTTAGTTCAAATATTCCCTCCAGACAGGTTTTCCCAGCACCATGCAGAGTAACACAGCTATGAGATGTGATGTGTGAGCCTGACAAAGCACTTAACTACTTCATGCCTCAATTATTCCTTCTGCTAAAAGTAAATGGGATCACATACTTTGCAAACTATTAGTATAGATGTTGGAAATAGGTACTATGAAAATCTTATTTCCTTAAACATGTCACTTACAACCTCATATTTACAAAAGTTAGTTCTTATGTATACCTCACACATGTTTTGCTTGCCACAATGTGTCAGTTAAGACCAGTTTATTTTATTCCCAGAAATGAAATTCTTCTCTCCATCAAACAATAGACCAATTTTGGAAAGCAGTTGCATTACTTCCCGAGGACTAGTATTTTAACTTCAGAAAGACTGCTTATCAGAATACACTTGCTTCTACAAAACGCAAGGAATTCAGACGTGACCTGTCTTTGGGTCACGACGGGACTCACTAGATGCTAGAATGCCGTCGATGAACTCCTGGCGTGTTATCTTCCCATCCTGGTCCTTGTCAATCCGACGGAAGAAATCCATCACCCGAGACTTTTTGTGATTCATCCAACGCATGTACTTTTTCCTCCAGACATCAAAGTCAAAGTTGGCAAATTCCTTCAACTAGGCAGAAATCAGAGGAGTCAATAAGACATCGTTTTGGCCCTTAACTGCCCGGAGCTTACCAGAACTTTCAAACACTCAATAAAGCCATGCAGGCCTTCTAGAGGGGCACCAACAATGATATCTGCATTGGCACCTTCCCTTAAAGCCATGATTACACAAGCTGCGGTATGACGGAGCAGCAGGAGAAACAGCAGCTGGACACCCACCGACGGAAACAGGGAGTACGTGGAACATGAACCACGTGGGTGGAGCCCGCCTTGTTTTCGCTGGTTTTTCAAAGGCTTACCCTTTGAGATATAAGGGGATGGATTCTATCACTGAATAGAAGTCCTCAGCATGCCTCACTCCCGACACGGGCCTAATGTCGGAAGGCTCATATTTCCTGAGATGAGCTCATTTGCATTCTGGCTGGAAGCATTAGGAATCTAACCCTGCATGCAAGCTTATTTGTCTAAAGTGGCTCCGTCTGATTTCCATGTTCAATGTCTGGCCTTGACAGATGACAGCAGCTGTGCAGTGGGCAAGGCCATATTTAGCCACTTCGACTATGTTCGTGCTTTAGACTCAGGATGACTTCAACAGAGCAGCAGTTTTCCCCTGGTCTTTCAAACTCCAAAGTTGGAAGGAATGGGGGAAAAAAAGCCAAACCCAAATATACTTAAAACTCAACTGAACCTACAGAAATAACAAAAAACACAGAACACTCACTTCCGGGTATAGCTGCTTTGATGTGCACAAATAAAAAAAAATATAAAAGGTATTAGAAACTAGGAAGTGTATTGCTAATTTTTACACAGTGGTAAATAAAACTTCAAGATTTGCTCTTTGTAATCTAGTGAAGACTAACAGATTAAATAAGATTTTAAAAAAGCTACTCTTATTGCAAAATTGTGTAGCATTTATCTTTATATACAAGGCTCAGGAATGGTCATTTCCTATAAGGTGGACACCTGGAGGTGATTGGCAAGGTTAGGCTGGCGATTCTTGGCACAGCCAAGCTCAGGTCTCAGGTTGGACCCTTGGAACACAACCAGTGCTGTGTCTACTCCATGGTGAGTGGGTTTTTTTCACACGTGTCTTTCCTCCTGGCCGGGGGGGGGGGGGGGGGTTCCTGAAGGACAAAGTTCTGGTCCACACCAGTGTGTTTCTACTACTGAAGAAGCAGGTCCCAGCACACACAGGTCACAGGAGGGGTGTGTTTGGAATAAGAAGTCCCTTACCTCCTCCAGCCTGTCCAGGGCATCATTCAGCTTCCGCTGCCGCTCCAATGCCAGCAGCCACACCTGCTGCCAGCGACCAGAGAGCTGGTTGATGCGTGGGTTTTTTGCTTCAGACTGTGACAGGATTGGCATGGGAGGTGGCGTGGGCTGATTCAAGGACTTCCCTAAGAGGAAAAATAATCATGAGATCAGAAAAGCTGTTTTTGTTAGTTCACAAAGAGAAACGGCCATATGTATATGACCTGAGTGGAGCTTTGTAATGGGGTGCAAGTCAGGCACTGAGAAAGAAACATGGGTCTTGGGAGTATTTAGATATTCATTTCAAAGTGACTGGCCCTCTTCCTCAGCGAAGAGACATCTGTCTCATATGCTTAATCAATCTGTCCTACCTTAGTGAAGTGAGGAAATGTCAACTCTTGTGAAAAAGCAAAGATTCCATGAGAGCAGATTTACTTTATGATTAGATTAGTACTAACCAAATGTTAGCAGCCAGCCCCAAAAGAATGGAATGGCTACTGCAAAAGAATCTGTATAGCCGCCTTAAAATCTCACTCTATTTGAAGGAAATAAGTGCAGTTAATTATTTGTCAGTGTAAGAAAAGCAAGTTTTAAAGAAAGATTTTAGTTCAAATCCAATTTGGTTTTCAAGAATGGATGAGAAGTGCTGTGATGGGCACTGGGTGGGGGGGGGCACGTCTCAGTTAGTGGGGTAACACATCCTGCCCGAGCGGGTGGGCACATACTGCTGCTGCTGCGGGACTTGTCGATGAAAGGCGTGTGGGCGGGCTCTATGTTTTTCCTTTTGTATGTCTTGGTGACCCGGTCCACGTCAGGCTGTTTTCGAGTCATCTCTTCCATAAACGCCTGTTAAGCACAAACAAGAGGAAGAAAGGTTGAGGGTTTTCTTGGAGTAAGATGGAATGAGGCAACTTATTAACAAAAGTCAAGCCCATGGCCATTGGAAGGACAAAAGCCTTTGTACATGGTCTCACTCCTTCGGAGAAACACAGCTGAGCAAGGCACTTTATCAGGTGGTTATCAGGTTTGAGGAGAAGGTCAGGGATGGAAGCTCAGGGAATAACACCACTACCAAGTGGACAGAGCATGAAGAACCAGCGGAGATGGTTAAGGAACGGACAGAGATGGGAGGAAAATTCGATGGAAGGACATACGTCAAAAGAAGAGAGTTTTGGGCCTCCCCGGTGGCGCAGCGGTTGAGCACTGGGTTGCGAAGCTGCCTGCGGCCTCTACAGCGCCGGTTCAATCCCCGGCTGCTCCCCGGCCACCAGAGAAGGGTCCCACATGGCGCGCAGACCTCTCCTGCCGCCTGCTGCTCCCCTCAGCAGTGTGCTTCGTCACTCTGCCTCTTCTGCTCTCCCTTCTAGCTCTGGTAAATTCTCTCACCCTCCCATCCCAGTGCTTGTATAAATAAATAAGTAAATAAACAAATCTTTAAAAAAAAAAAGAGAGTTTTGAGACGCGGGGAAGAGGCAACTGTCACAGGCCAAATAAGACAAAGGCTAGAATTCAGCCAGCGTGATGGACTGGGACGGTGTCAGACGTCTGATGGGGAGAGGAGTCAAACCACAGGGACCTGGGGAGTGAGTAGGAAGCGAGAGAAGCCAGGGAACAAGATGTCTGGCTGAGAAAGGAGGGGGGAAAAGGGGGAGCAACTCAGGAAACAGGGTGGGAAGGACAAAAGCAAACAGAACGGGGGACTTGAAGACACCAGAAGAATGGGGATACAGAAGGGAAAGGACTGGCATTGGGTGGGAAGAGCATCATCTCACGCAGGAGGGAAGGTGTCCCTGTAGGTAAGCTTGAGACAACGCATCGGGAGTTCTCAGTGGCTAGGTTAGTTAGCTATCGTGTACACTAAGGACACCACGTTTCCACAACATAACAGCAAGATCCAGGTTTGCATTCAGTGTAAATTATTCTGATTAAAAACCCTATTTCCAGGCATCCCTGGTGGCACAGGGGTTTGGGACTCAACCTATGAGGCTGTCCACAGCCACTGCAGGACAAGTTCATTCCCCCACCAGGGAGCTACCCACATGGCATGGCAGACCTCTCCTGACTCGCCCGCTGTTCCCCTCAACAGTGTACTTCAGTCAATCTGCCTTTTCTGTTCCCCACTTTGTCTCTGGTGAATCCTCTCACCCCCCGCACCTCTGGCCTGTACCCCAGTTCTTGTATGCATAAATAAATAGATCTTTAAACAAAATAAAAAAAAAAATAAAACAAAAAAACCCTATTTCCTCCTAAGGCTGAAACTATGAAAGTCAGTTTGGTGTTGCCTGAGCCCATCTTTGGGTTCCCCTAAAAGATCTTCCCCAACCTAAGTGAAACTGGGATAGGCCAATGGGAACTTGGCTCGGAGGCCAGTGGGTAAACCAGGATGGGGCAGGCATATTTCTTAGAAGGTACCCAGATTCCCACCAGTGGTGTTCATGCCCTGTGTAACTCCCTCCCTTCAAATAGGGGCAACACTGGAGCAAAGGATAGAACAGTTTAAGACCTACGAGAGCCAACAGGAGTTTGTCCTGCTGGTTTGAAGATCTAAGCTGCCAAGTGGTGGGACTGTGTTTAGGACCTGAGGGTGGCCTCCAGTAGCTGAGATGCAAGGATAATGGAGACCAGGCCCTGCTTGTGCAAGGAAATGATGAGTTTGGACGAGAGTAAGGCCCCAAGAGGAGGACCTGGCAAACTTCTACCCAGACTCTTGCCCACTGAAACTGACAGATACGTGTGTTTTAAGTTCTGTCAGAACATCTTAAGCAGCAAGTAAGAAAATGAATACATAGGACAAAGGGAGCAGGCGCCCATGACCAACACAAGGAACACAGCGGTGAAGATACCTGGTGCTCAGCAATAAGGGCTTTAACTCGGTCAATGTTCTGAGGGATTGGCTCCTGATCCCGCTGAATGAGGGTGGTCTCAGCCCACTGGATCCACGCCAGAAGTTCTTCCAAGAGCTCAGCATTAGCCACCAGTTCCGACAGGGCTGTTTCAAGACGCTGCTGGTGCTGCTTAGCCCAGGTCAGGACCTGGGGCGACAGGGAAACCGTGTTGTCTTCAGTCAAGCACACAGCTATTTGCAAAGCCCTTTTTTTATTAACCCCAGCGATGACTTTTTAGGGAAAAGACCATCCAAGGGTCAGAAGACTTCAACTCTTATTCCAGGGACAGCTGAAATAAGAAAGCAGCATTCCTGGAAGCAAATCTACAGCATATCCTATTCAAAATGGACTTCTCAGAAAGGTGGAAATAACACCCAGGGTGTCCAATGGAAGTCATCAGCTAACACATCACCACCCCAGCACCATGCATCCCGATTTCTACACATTACCAAGCAGGCAGTCTTACTAAAGTGCTGACTCAATTCTTGTTGACATAGTTGCAGTTAAAGATTCCTTATTTGGAGAAGGGCAGGGGCGATGCACTCTCTGTAGTGTTTTATTGCTATATACCCCTTTCCCTGTGTTTGCGCTGTCTTCCTTGGAAGCTGGGGACTCACCTCCTCAAAGCGAGCCCGGATGATGGTGATCCAGTGTTTGATGGTGGTGATGCAGTCGGGATGGCAGACAGCCAAGATGGCTTCTCCCATCGCTGCTGCTGTGCTCACATCCACTCGCTTTTCTTCTACTTTCTGCATGAATTCCTAAACAAAAAGATTTGAAAACCAAAACTGACAAAATCTACTTTAGCAGCACTGTTAGTTTACCCTGAGACAGGGAAAAAACTTCAGATTTTCTACTCCCTGTGTTGACAGAGGCCTCTAAGAGTCCTCATTTAGGTGCCGCTGGCTTTTTGTTTTCAATCTAAAAGACATGAGGACGTTTGCACTGGAATGACTTTCTCTGCTAGAGGTGACAGGACGAGGGACACAGGGGTCTGTCCCCTTTGCTAGGCTGGGCGTGCCCCTTTACCCATTATGAATTAGTTTGTGTTTTCAAAAACAATCCTGTTTTTATTCATTTCCATTTATGTAAATAAACAGTACTGTCAGGAATAAATGACAGTTAAAAAAACATTACAATGTTTAAAAATTCCTGTAATAGAATACAATGACCAAGATGAAAACCAAGATTGAAACCTTCTGTGGGGGCATCACAATATTTTATTAATGAAGGAAACTTTCCCACCTCATTAGGACAGTTACAATGAGGGCCCAGAAACATTGCTTTATATTCTGTCATAAGCGGGTCTAGGAGAGCAGACTGGGGCCTGAATATAAGGGTCAAACAAAGGTATGTGTAGGTAAGAAGTAAAGAAGGCGGAACAGCCCAAGTTTTGCTTTATCTGCCACCATGTCCTCACTTGTTTACCACACACGTTACTTTTGTAAAAATAAGTAAGACTCTTTCAGATGCTACAAAACCAGCTATTTCCCACTCATTCTTACTAAGCCAGTAAGCTGGGCTCTCCCTGGTCTGCTCCTTTCCCTCTAGTGGTGGGGCAGCCCTCAGCACAGAGAGCGGCAAGGGTCACTGCTCCTGGAGGCTGGATTACCTTGTGGGTGTCAATGAGAGACTGCAGAGCCTCTGTGTCATCAGGAAGTGCCCCCCGAAAACGAAGTGTTTGCTCTGCTTCAGAAAGCCACTCCAGCAGCATGTGGACAGTGTCCCGGAACTCTTCTGCCTGAAAAAGGCAACCACAAAACATTGACCCTCTCTCTGCAGCCAAGGTTCTGGACACTGGCATGCCAGGGGAGGGGTCTGGCCTGAGCTCATCAGTGCATCAGAGGCATCTGGTATTGCCCTCCCTCGCCCAGGTCATCTTTCATTTGTAGATCTTTGAAAACCAACTTATCCCATTATTTTTCTAACACAACAGGCTGTTAAAATCTTAATGAACATTCAGAATATCAATGTTTGCTTACCAGTTTCAGGAGCTTTATCAGGAGCTGATCCTGATAAAGTAAAACTAATCTGCTCTAATACACCTGCTTGGGTTGTCCCAGCACAGGTCTCTCACCTGCTTTAGTGCCTGCTCCAGGCGGCTTTGTTTGGAGACAGAGAGCTTGCACACAGTGTCCCAGCGGGTGCTCAGCTCCTGGAGCTGCCCTCTCACCCACGTGGTGTCATCACGACTATTCTCAATCAGCTCACGGCCAGACCGCTTCAGCACCTGAACAGTTCCCGTTCGCTTTCCCAGCTCCTTCTGGAAAACCTAGGAAAGAAAATAGGGAAATCAGTTTGAGATTGAAATGTTTTGAATCTGAGAAGGAAAACTATCATATAGTTCAGTTTTCCGGGAAGATTCCAATAATGTGTCTTTTATGCACCGAGGGAGGCCGGAAAATGTGGAAGGAACATGAATGGTGTGACTTTTGTTTGGATAAGATGCTTCACTGGAGTCTCAGTTTCCTTATCTGCAAAATGGGAATAACATTACACTAACATTTTCAGATTTAAGGGAGTTAAAATAAGAACACATCTGTCATGCACACAAAAAGAATTGGATGTAATTTCAAGGTAATGCTGAAGCAGGAGGACGTGACGGGCAGTGTTGAGTTTGTTAGCCTCGAAATACTTAAAAAAAAAAGTACTCATTTCTATTTTAGGAGTCAGTGGAAATGGGTATCTGAGGGTCTTTTAAAGTTAAAAATTTCTATGTCTCAACTGTGAGATACAAATATGAAGGGGGGAGGGAATCTCACACTGCCACATCTGAATCAATCCAATTTTGGAAAATTCTTTGTGACTTGATGTGGAATCCCAGCAACAGTTTGTTTAAACACAAAGCAAGGAGCTGCCTCTCTGAAAAGAGGAGATACAGGCTGTCAGATGCCTTTCGCACTAGCAGGTTGGCAAGCAGAAGGCACGCTTAGGTGGGCCTCAGCCCTTCCCTTACCTTATGGGCATCCATGAGATTCATGACCAGGTCCAGGTCCCCATGCACAGGCTGGTCCTCTGCCAGCTGAGGCTCCACCTTGTACAACCAGTCCACCAATGCCTGCAAAGCGTCCATGAACTGGCCTGAGAACAGCAGGGCCTCCTCCAACTTGTGCTGCCTGAAAAAAGCACAAACCCCTTCATTTTGAGGTGTTCTTCTATAAAAAGAAGAACACTGCTAGGAGTGTTCTGACTGCTAAGAGGGAATACTGCTTGAACTCCACAGAGGAAAGAACATCCATGATAGAATAGTTAGAAATATAGTACAGAGTATCTAAGAGAAATGCCTAGATACTTCTTAGAGACATTTTTCATCAAACCATTTTCTGGAATGGATTTACTGTAGTGAGGCGGGGGGGGGGGCAGGTATAGATGTCCTTTTGGATTCCTTGAGTCCAATGGCTATTCGTATGAACACACCCCAACAACCCAAGGTCTGTGTTAATTATTTCACACTACTCTAGAAGATGAGAGACCTGGTAACAGTGGTGTGACCATGGGCTGTCTCTTCACCTCTTTGAACCTCAGCTGCCTCATCTAAAAAAAATTAAGAGTGCACATAAAATGGAGATATTATAGTACTTAGCATAGCATAGTGGGTACCAGTAGGTGAAAGCATAACTTTTAGAGCCAAACTGCCCAGTTTCAAATTCCAGCTCTGCTACTTAGTAATTGAGGGAATTTAGAGACATCATTGTGATTGTTCCATTTCTACAATGGAATAACAGCACCCACCTCAGTGGTTGTTAAAACTAAATGTCTAGTAGGCACTGTTAGGCACACTCAGTAGTAGTTTCTCAGTAAAGGTCAGGTATTGGGATGATTAAATGAGGTGCACTGGTAGAGGCTCTGCACCATGTTGGACTCGGTGAGAATGCTCTATGAAACAGCTGTATTACACTAGTGATTTCTAACATTTACAGTTCCTGATCTTCTATTACTATTGGTTTTACTTTTGGGGCCTCAGTCTTTCTCATACAGTAAGTTTCAAGTGAACTTTAATTCATTTTATTCAAATTATTTCATAACTCTTATTGGATTAACTGGAGATACTGAGAGGCTACAAAACCTTTTACTGATGCATTAGCTTCATTACACTTTGGGGATCCAGTAAAAGTCTTGGTTATTTTGGGGATCATACAGACCCTCTAAGGGGGCTTCATGCTCACCTCTCCACGGACTTGCCACAAACAGTATCCCATTTGTCTCTGACTTCCCCCAATAAATTGTCCAGTTTGTGAGTGTCATCAGGAAGCAAAGTTTTTTCCTTCAGTGCTCTGCCAGTTCTAATTGTGGTATCATACACAGGCTGCTTGCCACCAAGAGTTTTCTGAAACTCCTGTTTCCAAAAAGAAAAGAAAAACATCAAGGGGCAGAGAGGTTAAAAAAGAAGACAGATGGTGGACAGGCACATGAAAAAATGTTCATCATCACCTACCATTAGAAAAATGCAAATCAAAACCACAATAAGATACTTTTCACCTGTGTGAAAAGACCAGGAACAGTAAGTGCCGGAAAGGATGTGGAGAAAAAGGAACCTTTTTACATTGTTGGTGGGGCTGTAAAGTGCTCCAGCCTCTATGGAAAGCAGTATGCAGGTTTCTCAAAAGATTAAAAATGGATCTACTATATGACCCAGAATTCCACTTTAGGCATCTACCCAATGAATGCAAATACACAAATTCAAAGGAAAATCTGCACTCCCGTGTTCTTTGCAGCACTATTTACAATAGCCAGGCTATGGAAAAAACCTAAGTGCCCCAAAACAGATGAGTGATTATTACTCAGTGATCAAAAAAGATAAACTTAGGATATTTGCGGCAACACAGATGGCACTGAAAGGAATTATGCTAAGTGAAATAAGTCCAAAGGAGAGAGATAAATACAAGATGGTGTCTTAAATGTAAGTGCAGAGAAACCAGACAAAGGGTCAAATAAAGCCAAACTCAAAAACTAGTCCTTGAAAGTAGACACTGGAACTGAGCCATTCAGAGGAGGGAAAAGGGAATGGGTGATTACAAACTGGGAGGGAGCATAATGGACTCTGGTTGTGGACTATGGATGGTTTGGTTGGGGGAGTGTTATAATAACAGCGCCAGAAAGAGGAGGGAACCCTATGATTTCAAAATACAGCAAGAATGTACACCAACATAACTTCAATTAAAAAAAAAGAAAGAAAGAATAAAAGCAAAATAATAACAAAAAACAGAAGAAAAAGAAAAAAGCACTAAAAGTCATATGACATCTTGATTTAGAACAAAAGCAGTTTTTGAGTTTTCCGGTTGGCAGGTGGGTATAACATGAATGTCAGTACATCTTGAACTAATATTAATGATAGTTTATCCTTAAGAAATTTATAAGGTTTTGTTTATGCCACAAGAGCAGTGCATGATAGTTTCTAAAATCTACAGTTTTAGCTGGTTACTCAACAATCACTTCACTTGAACTGTTGTTAAATGAGCACTTATCATGGTTACACAGTGCCAAGACGTGAGCTGGAATGCTAGCTTCAGCCCCTCGACTTCTTCCCATTAGCTGATTAGTTTTAGTTTTCTTTTCTTAAAGATTTATTTATTTATTTATACATACATACATACATACATACATACATACATACATACATACATACAAGCACTGGGTACAGTCAGAAGCGCGGGAGGGTGAGAGAATTCACCAGAGCTGGGAGCAGAGCAGGCAGAAGGACCGAAGTACACTGCTGAGGGGAGCAGCGGGCGGCAGGAGAGGTCTGCGTGCCATGCAGGACCCTCCTCCAGTGGCCGGGGAGTAGCTGGGGATTGAACCGGCACTGCAGAGGCTGCAGGTAGCTTCGCAACCCAGCGCTCAACTGCTGCGCCACCGGGGAGGCCCCAGTTTTAGTTTTCTTTTGACTAGTTGTGACTTTCATTTTCAGCAAGCCACTATCTGCAGTGAATGCCACGCTTGAGACCCAAGGGCAACAAGCTGCTTTACCTTGTGCTTAGAGAGCTGAAGTTTAATTTTGTCTGGGTCATTGGAGATTTCCAGTTCCGAGTCCAGGTGACTCTCTGCATCTTCTAGCCAGTCAATCAGTTTTTTCCAAGCTTCATGGAACTACAATCACATAAGAAGGAAGTTGGAGCAGGAATGAATATGCACACTCTATGACACTTTTTTGAGGACCAACCCAGAGAGTTAACACATGTAGCCAAGGCTGGTCAGTAAATTAGTCTCTCTCTTTTATAACTTACTTGTTTTGCCCGCTTCCTGGCATCATCTAGTGATCGTCCTCTTTCAATAGATCGCTGGACAACTTTCTCCCATCGGGACTGGACGCTAACCAGCAAGTTCTTGATCAGAACAACATCCTGTTTTTGGCTAAGAAATTTTAGCTGATTCCCAGTTTGATCCAGCTCAATGATCTGGTCTCGATGAGCATTTACTTCATTAGCAAAAACCTGGAGGAAGAATATTGCTCTTATTATACTTAAGATAATAGAGAAAGATGACCTAGATGCACAATTATATAACTAGTTATTTGAAAAGGAAAGCAACATCATAGTCACCTTATGCTCCTCTATCTGGGAAAGGACGGTGTTCAGAATCAGGCTGGGAGGAGAAGCGATGTTTAAACTCTGCTCTGCTAGGGTGAGCCAGTTGATAAATTCTTGTAGGGAATTCTGGAATTCTGTTGCCAGGTTGAGGGCCTCTTCCAGCTTTGACTGAATTTTAATTAAAACACACAAAGAAAAAGTACCGAATTCAGGAATTGTAGCTTCAAGAACAAAGACATGAATTGTACACCACATGAAATGACCTCTAGAAAGGAAGCCTCCTATTAATCAATCTGCAAACATGCCTCGTTTGTGAAGAAGGGGACGTTTTAATGTTAGTGTCTGAAACTGAAACGGTGTATGGAACAGAAAAGAGCACAATTTGCAGCTCATTGCTTTCTCTGCCATTCCCCACTTCCTGGGACGCTGAAGGACAGGAATGAAACTATTTAGGAGACGCAAATGAACAGACCCTTTAGTGGCAACAGCTGCAGGATCTGCAACCTGCTCTGGGCAAAATCTCAGTTTCCTCTGATCTTTTTTTTTTTTAATGGCATTAAAATAATGAAATAAAACACTTTACTGTAGAGATAATGCTCACTGCAGTGCTCTCTTTTTAAATACGTTTTCAGAAAATACAGCACCTGAAAATGTGTGATTCTGAAGCTAATAAATCATGATATTCTAAGCAAAAATCTAACAACATCAGATGCAAATTTTTAAACACTCTGATTTAAATGAGAATGGAAAAAACAGTGGTTTATTCAGGGCACATGCTACTCTCCACAAGTGCATCCCAATTTCAGAGTTGACAAGCTCCGTTCTCAGAGTCCTCCACCCTCAACATCTGAGTGATTGTTTCTGCCCCTGGCCTACCAACCAGTCACACAGTGCAGAATACTACACTGTTAAAAATGAATATTTCCAAAATATTCAGAGAAGCCAAGATATATATTAAAAATGTTAATACAAATATTAATCAGGTTATTATCTGATTTCTATTTTCCTCGATGTATTTTCACACCACTTTGTCACCTGAAAAAAATGAATGAATCTTACAAAAATGTATAGACCCAATCTAAACAAATCAACTGGAAAAATGAAATTTACTTCAAATTGATCACAGAAATGTTTAAATATTAACATACTGTCAGTTACTAGATAGCAGGAAATCTTTCCACAGTTCTTTAATATAGCACCACACACACATTCAATAAATAAATGACCGTGGTGATCCTGAATTGTATTGTTCTCACAAAATGAGAATTAACCATTCTTGATACCCAGTCTTTGCTCAACCAGTTTAGTCCCCCTGGTGATGAGTAACACTATCTATTAAGGTAACCCTGTTCTACTGTTAGGAAAACTCTCTAGAAACTTCTTGATGATGAGCCAGAATGTGCCCTGATTCCGTGGTTAGGCCTACACTGTGCAGGAATGACAGATGACAGCTTGTCTAGGAATTAAAAGAGAACCATACACTCACGTCCTCTGGCCAAGCTTCATATAGCAAAATCACCAGACAACACCAGAAGAATTCCAGGAAATTAATGCTTTTTTCAAAGCATTCTTTTATATGTGTGAATATTTATGTCTTCTGCTCATAAAATTTCATGTTGATAGGGTCATGCCTTTATTGTTTCCACTACAAACTGAGCCTAGAGCCTGGCACAGGCATGCTGCAGGCTTCTGTTGAGTGGATGTGACCAGCAGACCTGAACATGTATCTTACATTTGACCTGCCCAGCACAGAAACTCTGTGCAGAGTGATGATAAAGTTTGAGGACCTTATTACTTTTTCTGCTTTCAAAAGTGCTTGACTTTTGAGAATGAGTGTAAAGAGGCCATGCAACTAACCCCTCTCTTGATTTTTAGTAAATTTCCTTGCATACTAGAAACCAAATCCTTATGGGAAGTTATTAGTCATACTACCTGCATGCTCTGTCCTCACCCTCCCACTCCCAAGTCACTAACTCCAACAAAAACTTGTGCTTAAAGAGGAACACAATCAGTGACTAGTATGAGACAAAGAGATGATCAATGAGCAGTAACAGGTGGTAATGTCCTAATTGATTAATGCAGAAAAGGAATAATTGTAAAAACAACTTATCGGCACAAACTATACTGTCAATACACCTTGATACAGACCACACAAATAAAACAGAAAACATAGTTTGATTAGCATGAAGCCAAATCTGAGGATGTCCATCCTGCTAGTTCTGCTACAAAAAAATCTCCATAGAAACCAGATTTAAGTGCATATAATCACAAGGCAAATGCCTCAAACACAGTAATCAAACACACTGCACTTTGTGATGGTACCTTTCTTTCTTCCATCTTGCTGCTGACCACGTGCCACTTCTGTTCCAGTAGCGCTACACTCTGCTCTGTTTTTGAGCCAGACCCAGAATCACCACGGCTGAGAAGCATGAGTCTGCCCTTGTCCAACAGTTGATTATAAGTTTCTTCCTTGGCTTTGAGCTGGGAATAGAGTTCCTACAAGAAAAAGCAGGAAAGATATCAATAATGCCAATTCTCTGAGAGAAATGCACACACACAATTCCTGGCACAGTTTGGGAATAATCCAGCAAGGTCTGATCTTAATTAAAACCCTTATTTTTAGATTTAGTTCAAATGCTGAGCTATAAAGGAACGAGACCCACCATTCTTTCTTAAAATAGTTTTTTGGGTAAGAATCAGAGATCACAAAAATAAACTCGAATGATTTATTTCCCCTCTTCCTGACTTGCCTAGAAATTATGTCATCTTTTGTTTTCAGCACACTTTCTTAAAATACTCTCATTACTTATGGGAATTACTAAATCCCCCATTTTTCTTAAATACAGCCTCATCTATGTTATGTATTTGTCTTTCTGATGCTCTCACCTTGAGTTAATGTTCTTGGGCCAACAGGACTGATCAACTCACAATTTACCAGCTCACCATATATTTCTACCTGAAGCTTCCCTGTCTCTGCTAAGGTAGTAAAAGGTTGCACATAAGCAATGGTTCCCAAGTATACAGTATCAGTGAAAATGCACTACTTTGAATACTCTCAGCTGCACACACCTCTGCAAATTCAGAAAGGAGCTATTGAGTATGAGATGTTAACGCCCAATTTCAAATATGTGTGTTACCATATGTGTATCAAGCTGTTCTCTAGCAGTTTCAGGAAGTCCTCCTGTGGGCTTAGATGCAGAAAGTTGGGTCTCCATTCTAGTCAGTTCCAAGAGGAAATCTTCAATTTCACTGTGGAAGCCCTGAGCCTTTTGAGAAAAGACACATCAGCAGTATCAGTACCTGCAAAAGTAATCTTTTAAATGATCATATGAGCAAGCTATCTTGAGGGAGGATTCATGGACTGCTCTCAAGCAGAGCTGTTCTGTCGTTGGATGAACACTGGACCAAGACAGTCATTGTTACAGATTAGCAGAATCCTTCAGACTTCGCTATAACGTATTACAGACATCTGATACAGTGAATATGGATATAGGGAATCTGACTTAATCTAAGAAATAACTAAATCTGTGAATGCAGTTTGTTATGGTGAAGATCTTCTAACTTTGAAGAGTAACTAGGGGACTGGGTTACAGACAAATCCAAAAGGAATCATCCAATCAAAAGCTGTTCATTCCAGGATAAAATTAACCTTTCTTTCAAGACAGAGGCTCTAGCCTGCACTGCTTTCCTTTAAACTTGCTTTCACCGAAAGGTGTTCTTCTGAGGGGTGCTATGCACACAGCTCTCCCTCTCTGACCTGGAGGGTGCATGTACCTGCTGCAGTGTCGACCGCAGCTGGTGCTCCCTCTCCTCTGTTTTTTGTAACACTGACTCCCAGCACCGGTTCATCGTTTCCAAGCGGCTCCTTAAGCTGCTGGCGTCATCTCCAGCACTGGATTCAAGAAGCTCATTGCCAGCTTTGTTCACTGTTTCCACTGTGGCTTGATGGGCCAAAACATCATTTTTAAGAACCTGAAAAATGTTGAACAACATAATTTATCTCTAAAGATATCATTGAGCCCAGTTCTCTATGGAATACACACATCTAAAGGCTTCTGGTTGGCACTATTTGGTCTCAAATGAACCAACTTTGAGATGAAAAATGAAAATACTTACATGGTGCTTCGCAAGCTCAACTTCAATGACTTTTGGGTCTCCACTTATTGGTCTCTGAGCATCTAACAACTCTTCAGTGTGAGTCAGCCAACTCATTAGCTCCTCTAAGGCGTGCTGGAACTGGCCAAGGGCCAAGAGAGCACCTTCGAGCTTATGCTACTCAGAAAAAAGATATAAAGGGAATGTTTATTAGGAAGTTAGGAAACAGGAGATAGCAGTCCATTTATATCTTCTACCATTTGCCTTACCTGTCTGTGGGCGATTTTCTCACCCAGGTTCTCCCAGAGGTGTTTGAGCTCCGTCAATGGCTCTCGTATAATGTCTCGGTCTGTTTCATCAGTAGCTTTCTTTAACATTAGTTCACCCTGGTGATTGAGCTTCTCCATCTCAATTTGCTGTTGGTAAACTTCTACTTTGAACTCCTGTTCAAAGACATCCTTAGTGTTAATAACAAGTCTTTAAAACACTTAAAAAGACGCCATATGTCAAAAACCATTCCCAGATACAAACCTTCATTTCATTTAACTGATCTTTAACAGTGTTGAGGTCGGTGCCAACAGGGGGCATGGTGCAGAGTTTAATCACAGTGTTATCTAGCCAGTCAAACATAGCCTGAAATAAAAATACAAAGAAACAGAAACACAAGGAGTCAGGAGAGAATGAGCAGCATCTGCTAACAGAAGCAGACATCAATCAGAGCACCTTGGGCTCTTGGTGTTCTTTAGGTGAGGGGGAGGGGGGCAGAGGTAAGCAGTAATGATCTTATCCCAGTACTATGGGGGTTTAAGAACAGAGCCAATATTATTGGGATAATGTCCAAAATAAACTACAACCTGGAAAAACTAAATGTGGGGGGGGGGGGGGAAAGAGGCCAGTTAGTTCATGATGTCCTGAAGTTATTGTGCTAAGTTGTGCTTCAAGGAGACCTGGGTTTGGAACCTGCAGCAAGCAACGACTTTCACAATAAGGTCAACCTCGCCACAGAGCCACTGCGAGGATAACTATAATGAGCAGGCAGAGATGAAAAACACGGTTGGAAGAGAAGGAATTTGGATTTGTCAGTACTTTCCTCACTAGGAGTGGGAAGCCTGGGCTAGAAATCTGGAAACGGCACTGTGTTTGGGTTGAAAATGCTGCAGTCCTATAAAGGCGATCCGCTTTATGCTGGGTATGCAGAAAATGACCAAGAGAACACAGAACCTCTATTTCCGGGGGCTAGGGATGGTGCTACCTCAGGCCCGCTCACCTGAAGGGTGTCCTGATACTGCACAGCCGCTTGCATGGCATCCTCAAGCTTGTCTAGCCTCTCTTTCCATGTTTTATTTAAGTTCTCCCAGGCATTATTCATCTAGGGTAAAAACAGTCAATCAGTTAACCACACATTTCTGCTGGTCCCCAACAACCTGTCTGACTGCCATCCACCTCTCCACACCTCATCAATGCTCTTCTTTACTTCGGGCTTCTCGGTTTCTCCACAGGCAAAAATCAAATCTGCTCCAAGGATTCGAATAAACTCCAATTCCTCATGCAGACCATCTGTCTCTTCTTTAATAGTCTACGTGGAAATGAACAGAACATAAGCCAAAACAGAAAGCAGAACAGTACTTCCCAAACTTTGCAAATGTAATTCATGCCCCTATCAATAGCAGATGCTGAACAGAACTGTCAACTTCACAATGTTTCAATGTTCTTAATATTTCACTTATCTAAACAGTGAAGCTTCAGACTCTGGTTATTTTTCATACACATCAAATAAATTTCTCTACATAATTATCCATCCATCCATATTTTTATTTACACACACAAAGTTTGGGAAAGGTGCAATCACTTCAATAATTTACCAGAGGCTCATTCCTTCCTGCCTTCAAGAAGATTATTAAAGCAGACTACAGAGAATCTGTAACAGGATAAAATAATATAGTACATGCCACAAGTTTAATAGCTGAGAGACTAATAGGAATGCCAGGCTACATAATCTTGAATAAAGTCACTTCTGTGACAGATCCTAAAAAGTAGTTCATGAATTGACAATGATGGGTGAGGAGTGTTTTATTGATGGGTGTTTTACTGAAATAAAACATAAAAAGAAAGTATCAAGAAAGCTTGGGAAAAAAAGAAGGCTTGGTTTTCTGCTAAACACGTAAAATTAGGTGAGAAATACATTTAGCAATAACTTGGCTACCCCAAAAGACCAGAAAAAGGTTATGTCAATATAACAATTGATAACTCTAGAAGATGAGTCCAGAATTTCTCTTCTTTTATTTTTCTACATTAGAGAAATTTATTAGAGAAATAAAATAATGTATACCATAGTGAGGACAATGAAATAATATCAAAACTGGATTTTCTAAGCTCATTCTACTAATCTGAACTGTTAAGTTTAAAACTGATGTGAGAAGCAATTTTTTTTTTTTAAGATTTATTTATTTATTTATACAAGCACTGGGTACAGTCAGAAGCGCGGGAGGGTGAGAGAATTCACCAGAGCCAGAGTGGGGAGCAGAGCAGGCAGAAGGACCGAAGTACACTGCTGAGGGGAGCAGCGGGCGGCAGGAGAGGTCTGCGCGCCATGTGGGACCCTCCTCTGGCGGCCGGGGAGCAGCCGGGGATTGAACCGGCGCTGCAGAGGCTGCAGGCAGCTTCGCAACCCAGCGCTCAACCGCTGCGCCACCGGGGAGGCCCAAGAAGCAATTTTTTTTAAAGATTTATTTATTTATTTATACAAGCACTGGGTATAGTCAGAAGTGCGGGAGGATGAGAGAATTCACCAGAGCGGGGAACAGAACAGACAGACGGATGAAATACACTGCTGGGCGGAGCAGCGGGCGGCAGGAGAGGTCTGCGAGCCATGTGGGACCCTCGCCGGTGGCCAGGGATTGAATCGGCACTGCAGAGGCTGCAGGCAGCTTTGCAACCCAGCGCTCGACCACTGTGCCACCAGGGGAGGCCTGTGAGAAGCACTTTTGCATGATGAAATTGTTCTATATCACAACTGGTGGATATGAATCGATAAGTGTTAAAGCTATATGTACTACAGTGAGCAGTAGAAAAAGCCTATTTTTTTCAAGTGGGGAAAAAAAGTCTATTAAACTTAAAGAGGAAACTTGAGGCACTCAGCCCGGGCAAGCAGTTAACATAACCCATTTGGCTAAAGTGCTCTCTAGAGGACAAACACACAAGAGAAGGGGCTTTGTTTTCTTACCTCGGCAGCCTCAACCTGCTGCTTGATTATGGATGGATCGATGCCCGGGCTTTCCAGGTCATGGACGATGTCCTGGGTGTCTTTGATGGTGGTCAGGAGCGCTGCCATGTCATACCAGAACTTTTCCGCCAGCTCAAGAACATCTAGGAACTTAATTTCTCGCTCTTCAGCCCGAGCTTTGATATCTTCCCAGAAGAAAACCATCTGATCCAATTTGTCCTGGATTTCTGGGGGGACAAAGAAAAGATGTGAGTAGAACTCCTCTAAGTACTTGAAATCACCCTCATCAGAAATTCCTTTTAATTCTAACATTTTCAATGGAATTATCCCTACAAAGCTCCAAAAATTAGTAACAGGAGGAAAATTTCTACTTTAGCCTCCATTTACTGTTATTTTCACATTAGTGTTTTTTGATTGTTAGTCTCCCACATTAAAGAGACTGCAGAGGTAATCAGGAAATGAGTTATCATCTGATATAAAGTACTGCTAAGAGATAAAGCCCCTGAATTTATACAGAAGCTGAGATAAGAACTCTATTTCCAGTATTCTGTGTCAAACTTGCTATGTTTCCCACGGAAAGTGTTATAAAAGGTAATTATGTTCTATCCACTACTGATACTTCAGTTTACTCATATTAGGGGTTAAAGGAGCATTTGTTTCTGGCCTGGGAATCTAACTACCAATTGTAACCTTGTTTCAATGGGGAAATGTGTTCTGAATTCTAAATGACTTCTAAATGACTTTCTGGAATACTCATTACTTGGGGACTACAGAATGGTATGTTGGAGGTAACCACAGACTAGAATTTATTGGGCTGATTAAAAAAAAACAAAAACGAAACTAGATTCATCAAGCACCTTTTGCAGCCAGATCCTTGTCAGCTCCCTGAGATCGCCCAATGAGCTCTTCTCCCCGGCGCTTCAGGGCCTCAAAGGAAGGCTGCAGCTTTTCCAACTCCACAGTGGCACTCTTATTGTCACTGATACACTCTCTGATCTTGTCCACTTCAGCGGGGATCAGTGGTGGCATACGCAGGCGAGAGGAAAGATTCTCCAGAGTCTCCAACATGGGCTCGATTTTATCATGGAACTAAACAGAAGTTGGCCCATTAGTCATCACAGCGACACTTCATCACACTCTGGGGGAACTGCTAGGGACTGAGACCAAGTTACAGATCTACCACCACTCTTTAGGTCAGTCTGTTCTAAGCCTAGCCTGATGCCTGTCAAGTGCTGAGCCTGGCTAAGAAACTATGTTGGGCATAGTACACCAGAGCTGGCCCATCAGAAAAAGAAGGTATATGTCTATTTGAAGAATCAAAACTGTATTTATTAATATTCCAAAAATTAATTCAAATCATGAGTGCTGCCACAATACTTCCTCTATTCCAACTAATGTGACAGAAAGGGACAAGACTATGAAACTGGTGAGTCAGTGGGTCCACATCTTGGATGACAGTTGCATGCAACAGATTAGACCGACAAGGTAGATGCCCTCCACCAACTGTGTAAATGGATGGGAACTCAAGATGCTACATGACTTGGAGTTTTCAAAGTATCATGCAATTACAAAACCTGCCGCATGTAAAAGTGAGAAAAGGAAGTATCGGCATGATAAAAGGTAATTAAGGAAGCCAAATCTAACCTTACTAATTCTAAAAGAACAATTACCTCTCCACCTTTCTGGTCCTTTGAGTAACATGACCATAATTATAAAGTTTTCATTTATAACTTGGAGAGGGAGAAGAGGAATCAAAAAAGGTAGATTTGCCCCCTTAAAAAAGCAACTAAAACCAACTCTGGATCATTAATTAGCATAAGATTGTCAATTTTATGTATCCCATAGGAATAATGTGGTGGGGTCTCCTTATCAAAATCACTTCCCATTGCTCCCTCACTTCCAGGTTCTACTCCAAACAAAACTGGCATAATCAACTGCACTAATATAATTTAGTTCACTAAAGGGAAGTTTTCTCATAGGTGATTCTCTCCATTCTCAGCTTCATAAATACACCCTAATCCCAATGGGGGTGGGGACCTTACCTCTGTAATCTGTAATGGTGGGCGCGGTCAACACAACAATGAAATGTGACGATGTGGGGAAGACAGGAGCAGGCAGCAACAACACAAAGTAACACATCCCACAATGTGAGTGAGAGATGGGGCGGTGGGGGAGGGAGGGGAGGAAAACTTGAGTAAGTACAAATGTTAACCAAGAATATTGACTAAACATAGGAATAAAATACCCAGACATGACAAATGTACCACTAACAATATATTAGTTGAAAAGTATGTAGTTACATGCTTGCAACTCGACTGCTGGTTTATGTCTCTTTGTCGCTTCTCCCTACTCAAGCATCTGTCTCTGAACTGGGAGTTAGTTATCTGGTGGCTTCTTGAGTAAGAAGACTAATGTGCTGTCTTCTAAATCTCTGAAGGAACAGGCCCAATAGGGACCTGACTTTTCTTGAGGCATTTGTTTGCTTTTGAATCTGGAAGAGGACTTTACCCAAAATCACCCCTCCTAAAGAATCAACACTATATAAAGTTTTCAAGGAAACCACCAACAGACAATATACATCCTCCAAGACACATTTCACCCTCTTCCAGTGTATTATACCAATGTTCCTTGGAATAACATGCAGATAGGCCAAGGTTTCGAGCCTATGGACCATGCGCCATCCGCATTCTAGTCTAGACACTCCTGAGCACAGAGGCACAGGGATACACAGGCCTCTTGCTTAGACTAGAGGACAGCGAATGTTATAGGAGTTTAAGACACACATACCTGAGCAGACTGGGAAACAGCTTCGTCCAGAGCCAGGGCCCGCTGGCGCACCTCCTCCTTTATTTGGGCATACATATTTTCTGCCTTCTGATATTTTTCTTCCACCATTTCCCCCTCTTCAGGATTTAACTCCTTTAGTTGTGGGCCTATCTTTAACAGCTTATCAATATGCGGTTTGTGTTCAGCAATGGATTCCCTTAGTTGCTTTGCAAAGAAGAAAGAATTAAAATAAATGATCATTTTTACACCAGCATTTGCTTAAATATTTCCATCAGAACTTACACCAACTTTGAGAGGAACAAACTCAACTGTTAAAACCAGCAAGTCCCAGCATCTCTCCATTTATGGGGGAAAAGAAAAACACCTAAGTCTTGGGCTCTGACACAACCTAGTTCTTTTAATTTTCAAAAGCCAGTCCAACTATTCCATCACCCAGGAAGCCTTCCCAGACACATCCTCCTTCATGCTCCCCCAATTCCCAATTTAAATTCCCTTGATTGTTACTTAGTTTTTGTTCATTTCTATAACACCCAGGTTCCTGACATCTCCATAATTTTATTCTTTGATTCCTATTAGACAGAGGAAATAATCCAAAATGAATTTTTAATGTGCAAAGAAATTCTAAATGATTAAGAATCAACTTCATAACATAAACATACATCTGGCAGGTTCTAATAAATATGTTGTTTTTCGAATGAACTGTAGATCCCATTTTCAGTTCTGCAATAAAAAGAAACTCGGGCCTCCCCAGTGGTGCAGTGGGTTGAGCGCTGTGCTGTGAAACTGTCTGCAGCCTCTGCAGCGCCGGTTCGATTCCTGACCGGCCAGGGAGAAACCCACATGGCGTGGCAGACCTCTCCTGCTTTGCCCGCTGCTCCCCTCATCAGTGTCTTTGGTCCATCTGCCTGTTCTGCTCCCCACTCTGTCTCTGCTGAATTCTCTCACCCTCCCATGCCTCTGACTGTACCCCAGTTCTTGTATAAATTAATAAATCTTAAAAAAAAAAAAAGCAAAGGCTAGTGAGAAAGAAATACATTGAAAAGCTGATTGCTAAACTGAATGATAGAAAAACATTAAAAAAATCTTAAAAAAAAAAAAAAAAAAAGAAACTCAACATGGAGCTTACCCTCATCTCCTCTTGCTGCAGCCTGAGCTGTTCGTGGTCAATAGCAGGCGGAGGGAGCTGTGCTATCAGAGCCCGAGTCTCCTCAATCCAAGGGCTGAGCTCCTCATAAGTTTCCCAAAACTGGTTCACCAAGACCTGCGCTCGCTCCAGGCGTGCATAGCGCTCTGAATTGAGCAGACTAACAGCTTCGTACTGCTGTATTAGAGACTCTGTCTTTTCCTGTAAACAAAAAATTAGTATTATTATGAACCATTCATTAATTAATGTAACACTGGTTTACAATACTGTATAAGTTTTAGGGGAATGAGTTCACATCTCTTCAGATATTTGTCACCACCAAAGCACCAACAGACCTTCGCACAGACCTCTGGGCCCCTCTCCACCTTGTTCCTCACTCAACCCTTCCTCTCTAGCAGCCTTGATTCTGCAGTCATATTTCTAGGGTTTGTTTTTATGAACTGCTTTTTAATAAAAAAAATACAGGTACACATGTTAAAAAAATTTAAAGGAATATACACTGAAATATTAAGAGGCTTAATAAGTATAAAGAATACAAAAATCACTTGCAATCTTACTGAATTTTCTTATATGCATGTATAAAACACTTCTAAAATATGAAAACAGTTTCAGACAGTAAAAAAGCACAAGATAGTAAAACTAACTTTGTAGCGATAATGTAAAAGTTTAGATACAGTATTATTACAATAAATTGGTTTAAGACTGAACAAAATTAGAAGCTTTAGTGGAGTCTCTGCCCATCAAGTTTCACTTGTCTTTTTCCTCTTGTAAAAATGTCTCCAAAATTCTGTCTAATAAGCTATACAGTATGAGGTATTTTAACAAGCTCCTATCTTTAGGATGAGTAAATATACTGGGTCAATATGGTGGGTTGTCAGAAGTCATGATGCATTTTTGCTTGAAAAACTGAACAAAATACACCATAACTTTCTGACAACTCAATATAAAGATTTCTTAGGAAATGTGGTTGAACCATACCCTTTATAAAAAACAAATAGAATTGATTTGTAAACTAACTTTCATGGAAAATTCTTTTTAGAAATGTGTATAGTCTTTTAGATAGATCTAAAGAAGGAATTAAATCTGCTTGTGGTTCTGAAAAATCTAACACAGGTACCTTGAAAGGTAACTCAAAGATCACTCTTACGGACTGAAAATAAAGAGCAATTTCTCTGTTATAAGAAGGTGTTTTTGCAATATATCTCATATTATACTTTATGGCTTATTAGACATTTACAAGCACAGCACGGTGAGGAGTACGAATTTCCCAGAACAAGATATATTTTGATAGCTCCACCAGTAATAAAGAGGGAAAAAATCTTAAAATCATCATTGTACAAATATAATTCTAATTCACCATGATCAAGAACAAGATGGTGCATAAATGAATGTAATTCACCTGTAATAGGGCTTTCTGCTCTTCTCCACATGTGCCAAAGATTTCACCACGATGACTGAAGAGTTCATCCATGGAATCCTTGTGTCGAATGATATCAATGGAGAAGGCCTTTAAAAAGTAAAGAAATTAAGAAGTAAAGGGACATGGTAACTATGTCAATAAACAATTAGATACAACCCATGAAAAACTCCTTACTTTATTTTATTATTATTTTTTTAAAGACTTATTTATTTATGCACACAAGAGCTGGAGTACAGTGTGTGTGTGTGTGTGTGTGTGTGTGTGTGTGTGTGAGAGAGAGAGAGAGAGAGAGAGAGAGAGAGAGAGAGAGAGAGAGAGAGACTGAAGAGTTCATCCATGGAATCCTTGTGTCGAATGATATCAATGGAGAAGGCCTTTAAAAAGTAAAGAAATTAAGAAGTAAAGGGACATGGTAACTATGTCAATAAACAATTAGATACAACCCATGAAAAACTCCTTACTTTATTTTATTATTATTTTTTTAAAGATTTATTTATTTATGCACACAAGAGCTGGAGTACAGTGTGTGTGTGTGTGTGTGTGTGTGTGTGTGTGTGTGTGAGAGAGAGAGAGAGAGAGAGAGAGAGAGAGAGAGAGAGAGAGAGAGACCAGAGAGAGAGAGAGAGAGAGAGAGAGAGAGAGAGAGAGAGAGAGAGAGGATTCACCAGAGACAGAGTGGGGAACAGAACAGGCAGACTGACTGAAATACACTGCTGAGGGGAGCGGCAGGCAAGTCAGGAGAGGTCTGCTTCGCCATGTGGGTTGCTTCCTGGCCGGCCGGGGATTGAACTCATGCTGTAGAGACTGCAGATTGCATCATAGTGCAGTGCTTAACTCCTTTCGCCACCAGGGAGGCCCCCCAAACTTCTTACTTTAATAGTCACATCAAAAAGTGTTCTTATAGGGCCTCCCCTGGTGGTGCAGGAGGTTGAGGGCAGCGCTGTGAAGCTGTCTGCAGCCTCTGCAGCGCCGGTTCGATCCTGGCTGGCCGGCAAAGGTACCACATGGCACGGCAGACCTCTCCTGTTGCGCCCGCTGCTCCCCTCAATAGTGTATTTCAGTCAGTCTACTTGTTCTGCTCCCCGTTCTGTCTCTGCTGAATCCTCTTATCCTCCCACAAATCTGGCCTGTACCCTGGTTCTTGTATAAATAAATATTAAAAAAAAGGAAAAAGTATTCTTATAAAGTTTGACACTGTCTATCCACACATCTTCAATGTTTACCATTTAGTAGCTTACAAAAATATCTTCCCTCCTAACAATCATCCAGAAAATTGCTAACTATTTTTTTCCTGGATTAATGAGCTCCCCTCCCCTCCCCCAGCCATGCTTCACAAAGCAAAAATATCCCTTCCTCCTCCTAAGCAAATATTTGTAAAATTAATCTCCATCTGTTACCATGACATTGCATCATTCCACCTAACAACTCTCTTTTCCTGCGTCTAAGCTACTGATGACATTACATTCAGCTCAGGACACAGTATCTATGTGTTCCACTCACCTTCTGCACCTGCAGCTGAGCTGTAGTCTGGTCCTGTTCTAGGCGAATTGGACCCAGGGACATCAGTTTCCTTTTCGTTTCAGCAACCCAGGCTAGTTCTGCATCAGCAGCTTGCTCGTACTAATAGATCGAAGAATAATGTACAGGTTACTTAAAGCCTAGGTTCTTGTACTTAGAACTATAGTTTATCAACATAGAAAGGCCTGGTTTTTCAATAATCAGTTTATATCTCATCAAGACAAAAGAGGAAGAATTTCTTAAAATCACAAATCAAGATGCAGAGTGTAACAAACAAATATGACTTGACCCTATTTCAACTTCTTTATAAAGAAGTCACAGAATCCAGTCAGTGGGCCTACGGGTAAGTAACAATGGAAACTGACAACCTCAAAAAAAGAAATGCTTCTAATCAGAGTGTTTCAGTGAGGTTGTGTTCTCTTTGTGTCAATTCTCCTTCCAGACATTAAACAGTAGTAGTTTTAATCATATGTTTAAACAGAACTTAAGATGAGAGCAGACAGCTGAGTCAAGTTAAGTTGAAGTACTAGCTCAGCTGAAGAAGCCTAAGACCTTTTGGAAGAACACCAAACCTTTAAACAGTTATGCAATAACAAACAAAAACTAAAAACCTACTCTTAGTGACTGTTGATTAATGAAGGTCCCCCATTCTTTTATTGCTTTCTCTTCAACCAACACTAATATTTAAAGAGAAAAGTAAGCTTCTCTCAAGCATGGGGAATTTCATATTGAAATATCTGGCCAAGATTAGGAATATCAATGAAGACACCTTAGGGATGTACTTGGGGGTCAGAGCAAACTTCTATGTGGTTCAGAAAGCATTATTTATCACGATGAACCCAAGGAACAATGTTATTTGAAATTACTTTTGTGCGATGGCACATTAGTGGTGAGTATCCAGCTTTAAAGAAAAGCAAATAACTGTTTTTCAAAACAGCAGGAAGGAAAAAAAGACTGAGGGAAATATGACACCTGTGTTTACTAGGATGGTTCTATTTTGGATGGCTCTGCTATTTTGGTTGGCATATTTGATAGTAAATTATAGTGCTGGGTTCCCTCTCCCTCTCCCATCTAATGTTGAAACAGTTGATTATGTCAAACTAAGACTGAAGCATTTGAGCCTTTTGTGTCTAGATATCATCTACTCCCATCACTACGCTGCTTCCCAGGGCACTAGCTAAGACGACACCCCACGCAGTCTTCTCCAAGTTCTCCTCTACTCAAAGGGGTCAGTATTTTTGGTCAAATCCAGATTCACCCTCAGATCTCCACCAATAACTTCCCATTGTGGAAGTAATTTGTTGCATCAGGTTTAGCTTAATCACATTGTTCCTGTTCCTGTATTTAAGTGTATTTAAATGGGTCATAATTTGGGTCATAGTTTTGTACCCCATAATTCTAGATCCCTGCTGCCTAAAATAACAATGCACAGGTGTTATAAACATTACCTGTTGTGATCTCTGAATAGCAGCATCAATTTCATCCACCCTTTGTCCAACAGTATCACTGATCAGCTTGTACTGCTCATTGACATCGGACACAAGCTTATCTAGCCCTTCTCTGGCTCTCCAGGGCACCAGCTCTAAGAGGGCACGGCTCACTTCATTCACTGTGTCCAACACGAGCCTGTGCTCCATGACCTCCTTCTTCAATTCCTATAAGGAGAGAAAAAAGTTTTCAGGCCATACCTTGCTAAATTAAGCACATCAGCAGCAGTGCCAGGTAGAAAGCACTCTCTCTACCACTCATCCCAGCAGGGTTCTGACCTCCTTCCTCAGTTAGTTTTCTCTTGTTCAGATTGTTTAGTCATTCTGCAGCCTGGCTTTTTTTTACTTGCAACTTACTCAGAACTGTCTGTAAGACTCCTTGAGCCAAACTATCTCTGGACAAAACAAACAGTTCTGTTTTCTTTTTTCTCCTTACTTCAATATAAATGGTAAATCGTGCTTTAACCATAGGACTTTAACTTAAGTACCTAGCATAGCATTTTTGTGCATGTAGAACTGCATTAGATCCTGCAGGACCATCAAATAGAATCATGAAACACTCCTTAGAGAATGCATCGTAAGAGCCAATTATTAAATGTTACATAAGAAGCAAACTTCCTAGGGATTTGGGAATCAATCTTCTTTCTTTTTCAGACCACAACAAGTGCTCTTATCATGTCTTTATATCAGATCTTACTGTCTATGAGTAAACAAGAAAGGAGGCAGATCGACAATTTTAATTTAGATTTAAGGTAGAGCTAGTAGGTGATGGATTAAAGAATCTGATCTTAGAAGTTCTAAGAGGAAATGTTTCATTTTTCCTTTTACAGTGTGATATAACAACCCACCTTCTGTCTTTGTTGAAACTGGGGTATTTGCTCCCCTGTGGGAGATTGCCCCCCGCTGGCTGCCAGTTCCTCCTCTACCTCCCTTAGCCATGTGGTCAGTTCCTCATAAGTAGACTGGAACTTGGTAGCCAGTTGCCGGGCTTGCTCTAAAGTTCGGAGGGCCTTGGAGCTAGTGACTGTGATATCTGCATAGCGAGTCTTTATTCCATCCAGTTTCTCCTGGATAAGCAACACCTCTTCACCTGTGGGAGACAATACTAATTAGTCACATATATGAGGGAGTCTCCTTCTGGAGATGAGGGGTCACTTTAATCCCTCTCTCTTCAGTCACAGCTTAAAATTTTATAGATGGCCTCGCCTCTTCTTGCGGTAGTGATTTCACTGAACATCCCATACTAACGTTAGGTGGGAAATAAAATAAGCCTTTCCATTGAGTAAAGAAGTCACTTCTGAAATTATTAAGACCTGAATTTGCCTGCAGGAATTTCTAGATATTCCCAGTACTGTTCAATGAATGCTGGTGTTTGACATGTTGGAGGGCAGGGGAAATCATCATCTGTAACCAGATGTGAGACAACAAAATCTTTTTGCTTTCAAAAGATTTCAAAGGTAATGAGAAGCTTGGCCACCAGGCTCCTGGGAGCACCAGGTAATGCAGTCAGTGGCTACTAAGTGTCTCCTATATACAAAGAGAAGAGGCTAGTGCTAGGTGCTTATTTTCTCAGATATGTGACTGCCTGTGTGACCACAGAAGAGCTAAGAGATGCATGTTCAAAGTACCTGTGGTTTGTTTTAGAAGCGCCTGCCCATTTTTAATAGCTTGATCTACATTCTTCTTTCTATTAACAATCTCTTCATTCAAAGCCTGAAAGGAAAGATAACATTAATCCCCAAACTATGACACAACAAAGGGAAAGAAAGGTGAGATCTTTAAGAGACCAATTTAAAATAAAGAGAATACCAGTTCAATTTAAACATCAGCTATTTGATTCCTTCATTATCTCTCTGCTTACCCCATTACTCAAAATAATTATATCATATATCATATTATATATACCAGATGATAAGAGATTTAGGATTAAATCAACTTTACTAATAATCTATTAGTACTAAACCTGAGCTTAAGAAAGGCAGAAAAATTCAGCAAAAATGTCTACTATGTTCAGAACAAAGAAAAAGGCAAAAAGTTTAAGAGAAGAAGTTAGCAAGAACAGACTGACTGAAAAGGTAAAGGATAGAACTGAAGTTTGAGAGGTGAACTTAATGTAATGTAGTACATACACATGTTGATTTTTAATGATGCACATGTGACATTCATGCTAGAATGTAATTTTATTTCCATTGAAAAATAAAGCTGACCTAACCTCTCTCAATATTTGAAGTCACTGAAGCAGTAGAATCTCATTAAAAGAAAAAAATCCTGCTTTGCCTATTTTTCACCATCCCCAAAGAAATTTCTTAACAATGAAATGAAAAGGGCAAATTATTCTTTCTAAGATGACACAGTTTCCCCGGAATTTGAGCATATAAATTCTAGAAATATTTAAAAAATTACAGCTATATGATCAAATTCTGGGTGCTATTCAGGCATATGGTTTTAAATTTCAGTCTCTCTCATAAAACTGCTGAAAAGGGAACTTAGTGATACATTAGCTAGAACGATGCTAAACATGAGGAAATGAGGTGGCCCCTGACTACGCTACAGATCGTCACCTAGAAACTACAGATTCAGTTTGTTAAATACAAGTATTTCTAAGAACTCATCAAAGGAGAGATTAGTCCTTAGCACCAAGTCTATAACTATGCACTTATAAAGTTGAAATGCTTGGAATCAAAAGAAAAAAAGCAAAATGAAGAGAAACATAAATCAAATTATAAAGCAACTCAGTAACCAAGGAGAATGGAAACCATGAATACCAGGTGGTCAGCATGCTGCTTCTGCAGGACATCCTGTCTGTAATCCTTTACGAACACTGAACTGAGCTTGTCCTCAACCTCAGCCAGCCAGTTGAGCAACTCCACCTCATCCTCCCCGAAGAGTCTAGCATTGGACAGTGCTTGTTCAAGCAGGGCTGCTTTCCGACAGCACCGGTCTTGAATCTCACTGTACCGAGCCTGCAATGAGTCTAGCTTTTCTGACAGCACCCCCTGTTCTGCAGAACACGTCAGGGAGGAGAGGGACTGCCCAATTTTGACTGCCTGGTGCACATCTGCTGCATGGCTTTCTATTTCTTCCTCCAGAGCCTGGAAATCCAGATGGAAAAAATGAGTAACAGAAACCAAATAAATGGAAAGTAAACATGAAACAATGAATAACAAATGATATAACAAATTAAATCATAATACAAAAGGTTCACATAGAGAAAGGGCAAAAATAATTCGAAAACTGAAAACCAAAGTTATGTTTTCTGATGGTGGTCTATTGGTTGGTTTCTATTTTTACTTCAAAAATATGACTTTTCCAATTAATAATTTGACCATGTTTTACATTAATCTTAAAAAAAAATCCAAAAACATGTCTTTTGGAATGCTGTAAGCAGTTTTATCATTCCAATTCTGTGTTTTCATTTACCGTAACTACTTCCTACCTTGTGCCGAACGATCTGCTGCTGTATTTTAGCAGTCTGAGTACCCACTGGTTCTGAGTTAGCAAGCTTTTTCTCCGTGACAGATAAGAAGTCAGAAATAGGCTCAGCTGTCTCATGGAATTGCTTGGCCAGAATCAGGATATCTTCCAGCTGTTTTTGCCTATTCAAATATACACAAGGAGCTGCTCAGGCAAAAAGTCTCATTTGGACTGTTAACAGTACTACATTCAGTAGAGGCCAGTCATCACCAGGTACATTTAAATCAACAGTACACAGAACACACACATATAACAACTTGTTGTTTTAAAAGCTTTCCTGAGTATTATTTTGATCCTGTCATAACCTTGTAAGGTAGGCAAAATAGTTATCCAGTTATTACCAAGGAGAAAGCCAACCCTGAAGAATTAAAGGAAGTTCTGTCCAAGTCGCTCAGTGAGTAGAACAGCACAGTGAGGATCAGAACCAGATCCTCTAGTTCTCTTTCCCTTATGAAATGTAAATGTAGCACATGCGTCACCTGAGTATGTGACCAAAATGATGTCTAAAGGAGACCAAAAAATCACCAGTCTTCATTTTGCTCTGTCACTGCTGCCTTCACTAGTGAGTAAGGCAAGGGAGATCTTGGAGAGCAAAGACAGACTGCGAACTAAAGGTCCCTCCCCAGCTCCCCAAACCTACTCAGGCTTCTAGTAATTTCAGCTGCCAGAATATAACTTTGAATCTAGATTTAAGGCAAAAAATGACCTCAGACAAGCTGAATTTGCCAACACAATTGAAAGCCAAAAGAACTGTAGACTTTATAGTTCACTTGAAATCTTTAATCCTATTTAATATAACAATATTCTGTGCTTGGGGGATAAAGCTTCACAGAAGAAGAGGAGATGGGCAAAAGTACTTCATGGAAGATGCAACACCATTAGCAAAAACAGAGTTGGAAATTGACAGAAAATACTGAAGAATGGTTTACACCACATCAGCTATAACACATGGAGTGGAAACTAAGAAAGGCAGATTAGGGTCTAATAGTAAAGGACTTCCAGTGTTGGGGTAAAGTGTTTAGATTTTATTTTACAGGCAATTGGGAGTCAATCAGTGTCTTTGCTCCTGGAAAGTGATGATCTGAGATGTACTTTGAAGATGTTCACCTGCAGCATGAGAAGGAGGCCAGGCATGGCAAGAGGGGCAGCCCTGACGTAGCAAGTGGGAATAGAGTGATGAGTGACTGGTGCGTAGTCAGTGAGGAAGCTACCTCAAGCTAGCCCCAGGGAGGCTTCCTGCATTATGGACTGAGGCAGATGAATGGGAACTAGAGAAGTGGACAGATAAGACAATATAAAACCTGAGGTAACTGGAATGGTACTACTAGTGGAACTGGACAAAAAAAAAAAAGAAAAAAAAAAACAACAACAATACAACTTGGAAATAAAAACAAGTTAATTTTTCACATTTTTGTTACCCCCACTAACATAGGCAAACAATACTTTGCAACTCAGAGAAGCAACAAGCTGTGGGCAGGTGGAAATAGAGAGAGTGGAGAGGGTTGTCTGAACGTTGCCCTTTGGTACCTAGAAAACTGAAAAAATACAATTAAGTGATCTACTTTACTATTCTCACATTGATTTCTGATTAGCTAGTATTTATTTTTAAAAGTGGGTACAGTATAAGTTAGAAGTAAACACACATCCATGTGACTTATTGAGCACAAGTGACAGTGGGGCAACATAGCTATAAAAAGAGCAAGCAAGTCCGTGCAGGAGCAAAGTGCAAGGCCTGTCTTTTGGGGCTGTATCCTGAAGACAGTCCATACATCTTTTGAACGCCCATATATTTAACAGAACAACAGATTAGTTCCTAGATGCAAAAAAAAAAAAGAAAAAAAAAAGAAAAAAAAATTATCTAATATTAGGATAAGGTAACAGAAAATATGATAAATCTCAAGTCCAAGTACCAAAAGCTTTATTTATAAATACGAGAGGGTAAAATCTGTTTCAAAAATTGAGAAGCTAACTTGGCTGGATTGTGAGCATCTGCGTCTGTTGCTGGGAACCACGACTCTGCTGTAGCAGAACAGCACAGAGAAATGAGTCTGCTGGTTCTCAGAGACGTGTGGAGCAGCTGAGATGCATAACCTGAGAGTGATTCTGACATGAGCATCATCTCTGAAAACATCTTTAAGATGAAGTCATTAGACACCTTCCAAAGCACCATATGAGTCAACCAGAGGCTTTTAGAGCACCTCAGTGAAACCAAACGAAAAATAAGACAACCTCCTCTGACTCATTCCACCAAGGCCCCTTCGGCCTTACCTGGCCGCTGCCTTGTTAAGTAGTCCAGTCCATCTACTTTCAAGACTCTCCAACTGTCCGGTGATTTTCTCTCTATCAGCCAGCTCAGCGGACTGGGCGATCCTGCCTCCTTCTGCTTGAAGCATGTCCACTGTGGCCTTTCGATCATCTAGGAGCCGCTGGAGTAACTATTGTACATGTTTAAAGAGAATGAAAATAACATGGGATCATTAAGAAATCTGAAATAAGGAAAAAAGACCCTAACAAAAAGCCCTACCCCACCATATCCTAAGCTTAATTGAATAACAGAAGGTTCTTCTCATTCCTGAGGCAAAAAATAAGATACATCATAGTTCCTATCACCCACATAAACTTTTCTTAAGTTTTTTAAAGGCAGCAGTGACTGTCATTATGTGACTAACAAGGAACTTAATGTGAACCAAGACAAAATGTACTGATATGGCTACCAGACTAACAAAAAATAAAGGCAGACCCTGCATGTGATACACTGTAAGTCCTTCATGTCATCAGGCTCTGGGAAACTGTGACTTTAAGCAAAACGTTATGCAACAAACCCAATTCTACCACAGGCTAATTGATATAAACAAGAGTTAAGTTCCTACGGCATGTTTCTCATTACAAAAACATCACCAAACTTCTTTAAAAAGACCCAAAACCCTTCTAATATTCAAAAATGTTTGCATTCCCAACCCATTAATCCCAATTCAGAGTCTTGGGCGGGTTAAGCCTAAGCAGGCAGCTCAGGGCAAACCACAGATAGGTCACCGTTCCATTGTAGGGCTTGCTGAGTGTGAGTGTGTGTGTGAGTGTGTGTGTGTGCGTGTGTCTCTCTCTCTCTCACACACACACACAATTTAGACACATCAATTAACCTAACATGCACATCTCTGGGATGTGGGGGAAACCAGAGTACGGGAGAAAGCCCGTGCAGACATGGGAGGATGTGCAAACCCCACACACAGTGGTCCCAAATGGATTTGTTGCATCATCAACATTATAACAAAATAGGGCTGCTGTACAAAATTAGTTAGAACTTTGCTGACCCCTGAAGGTACAAGAAACCTCTTAACACAAAGCTGTGAATGAAACACTGAAATAGGATGTGAGCAAGGAAGTCTATTCAGTTCAATATATGTCAAGGTAAACCAGCAGATTAAATCAAGATGATGAAAAGCAATGGCAATCTTTCTTGTCAGAATCACACAAAGCAGGTTGGGATTCTACTGAAACTCCTGAATGTGCTTCTTAAACTATAAGCAAATGTGTTGTCTGCCACTCCCTACGGCTGTTACAGCTCACTGCCCCAACATTCTCACTTACCTTCTGTTCTTGGATCTGTGCTTTCACCACTTTATACTCAGCAGATGGAGGCTTCTGATTGGCTATGAGCTCCTCGGTGTCTGCCAGCCAGCTGAGCAACGGCTCCAAGGCATCTTGAAACTTCCCACAATGCAACAAAGCCTCCTGCAGTTGTGCAATCCTTTGTGCAACCTGCATCACAGACATGGAGGCGCATTACAAGCAAGGAAAGAGCTTTTTAAATGACCACTGACCCCTTTCAGTAACTATAGACTGCAACTGCATCTTAGTGTTAAGTGAGACCCTCCTAGTCCCTCTGTTCTCTTGCATCCCTTTAGTCCCTAGCCACTCACCTTTTTATTCAGAGTGTTCCATCGGGCATTGATCTCTTCCATGTCATGTTCCAAACCCTGCACATCACAGTTCTTCCCGGCACTCTGAATCAATCCCTGGCCCAGTCCATTCACCTGCTGCAATTTCATCTGAAGAGGATCCACCTGTTCTTTCTGAAACATCTAGATAATTGCAAGCCAAAGAAGATTTAATCAAAAGGCACTCAGACCCTCTATACTGCAAGACTAGTTTCCTTGGGCGATTTATGATTTAATAAAGGAAAGTTGGAAATAAAAAGAGAAAACAAGTCAATTGTACAGGAAGTGTTAAGGAAACAAGTAGTTTCGCATGTCAGTACATCCTCCCATGACAAGCAGTTTCAGAGAACTATGGTACTATGTAGGCCCTTAACCCGATGATAACATGGCTTGTTATTATTTTGACCTGTTTCTTTAATTTTTTAATGCAAAAAAGTTACAGAAAACAGGGAAGGATCAATTTCAAGATATTGTAGAAGTGAGTATGATGTTTATCAATCCTAAAAGGGAGAGAAAATACCAAGTGACTAGTATTTAAGATTAAAAATACTTTGGAGAATAGCTTTAACTGACCATTGATAAATGCTATGTTCCTACCTGACAACAGTTAGAAACTCAATTAGTCAAAGCATAGTAACAATATATAAGCACCAACCTCACAGCTTAATTCTGGAAAACAACAACAACAAAACGCCACCCTCACAGCATAATTCCCCCATGGCCATTTAACTCCATTCTACTCAGGGCCACAGACCACACACTATTAATAATCTTGAAATAGTATTCCCTCTGATTACCAAGGGAAACAGGCCAATAATATTGGGGAATGTCCTTAACAATTTCAGACACATACTGAGTGAAATGCAAATATACATGTTTTAAAAATAATGACACCTTATATCCATATTCATATTCACCACTAGACGGCTGAACTATAAAATGCCGTGAACAAATGTAACCAGCAAAGTGCGTGTTTCTACCTAGAGTAGATCTACTATAGCAGATCCCCTACAATCCACTCTAACCATAGTAGCCCGTGCGATTTTTAAAAAATATTAGATATTTAGAAATTTCTAAACAGGAAACAAGAAGTCGCATAGTAGTATTGTTGCCATGCTAGCGGTATTACAGAAAAGCTTACTTTTCTCAATTATCAGATAAAATCAGCCATCACCTAATATGGCTCCATTCTTTTTCTTCCACAAAAGTTCCTATAGTTTCATTCAGTGAGACAGGTGAGCCAACTAAGGCCAAAGGAAGAAGACAAAAATGTAAGTGTGGGTATTTTGGGCTTACACAAGACCAGAGATCACATTAGGATTAGGAAACTGATTGTAGAAAGAATGTCTATGGCGAACTAAGCCACTCACCAGAGAGGGAAGCCACAGGGCCCACTAAGAAGGAAGGTCACACAGGTGATTCCCAGTGTGCTCCATTACAGACGATACCATGATTCTACCGCATCTTGCCAGGCAACGCTACAAGGCAGTTCAGCTAAAAATGACTGTTTCTCCAACAACATGTTCCAGAGACAGCAAGTGCTATGGTTCTATTTTGTATTAAAGATGTTTTCACTGTGGAACTGTCAGAGCAGAGGGAGAAAAATACTCCTCTTATGTTCTATGTTGCTTGTGATAAAATGGGATAAAGGCAAAAGCAAGCAGAAAGCCACAGGCTTTATTTTTATTTTTTTTCCCCACAGGTCTAGAGGAAGTCCACATGGAAGGGCCTCTTTTTAACCCAATAATCAAGTCTGTCTCATACTATGACTGACATGTAACTTCTTTCCGTGCTGTCCAATACACAGCAGTTAATACACATGGCAGTTTAAATTAATTGAAAACAGTTCCTTGGTCACACCAGCCACATTTCATGTGTTCAACAGTCCCCGTGGCTGGTGCTTCCTGTGCTGGCCAGCACAGATAGGGTGTCTCCCTCTTGGCTAGACCATGCTGTAACTAATACAAAAGAATAAGAGAGATAAGTGGCCTAAGGGTCGCTTTTATACAATAATAATTTTTTAAAAGATTTATTTATTTATTTATGCATGCATGCAAGCACTGGGTACAGTCAGAAGCAGGGGAGGGTGAGGGAATTCACCAGAGCCAGAGCGGGGAGCAGAACAGGCAGACCGATGAAGTACACTGCTGAGGGGAGCAGTGGGCGGCAGGAGAGGTCTGCGCGCCATGTGGGACCCTCACCCGGTGGCCGGGGATTGAACCGGCGCTGCAGAGGCTGCGGGCAGCTTTGCAGCCCAGCGTTCAACCGCTGCACCACTGGGGAGGCCCCAATGAGATAATTCTTTAAAAAAAAAAAATCGATTTGCTTTGCTCATGACCATTTCCTGCAGCAGTACTTGAGAGTCTTCCCCTTGATTGCCACCTCCACGCTGTGGATTAAGTTGACAAGGAATGTGTATTTGTGTCCATTTTGCCAGAAGTTTAAAAACACATGAAAATACCTTTAAATAAACATTATATTTGTTTTGAACAAATGAACAGAATGTTAAAGTTTGAAAAACAAACAAACCCCACTTGGTCCCTTTTCTCAAGTCTCAAAGTTGCTTGGTAAAACCAGTGCTTTTGGCTACATTAAAATTCCTACTCCTTAGTAGTTCACATTGTTAGTAAAATGGGACTATGCCATGTTATTAGCTGACCAGGTTAGACATTTCCTGGAGTAGTACACTAGCAAATTATTTTAAGGCTGTAACATACAACAGGGATACAAAACAGAACATTTCAGGGCCTCCCTGGTCGCGCAAGGGGTTTAGACATAAACTATGAGGCTACCCACAGCCACTGCAGCACAAGGTCGATCCCCGGCCAGGGAGCTACCTAAATGGCGCAGCAGACCTCTCCTGCCTCGCCCTGCTCCCCTCAACAGTGTACTTCAGTAGATCTGCCTATTCTGCTCCCCACTCTGGTGAATCCTCTCACCCCCACACCTCTGGCCTGTACTTACATGCATAAAATAATAGATCTTTTAAGAAAACAAACAAAAAACAAAACAGAAAATTTCCCAAAGAACTTTTCAAAACATTTTCATCCTAACACTTTGGCGTGTCCACTGCTCTCTTCCAGACCTCTAAATGAGTCTTGGGGGACAGAGAAAAGGGGAAGATGTCAGTCCTGGACCCTTTTCTCATTCTATCCTCTCTTCCTAGACAATTCCATCCATTCTCAGGCCTCTGAATATTAACCATTATAAATGCTTATGACTCCCTCTCATCTAAGTTTCAAACCTGCATATTCAATTACTTTCTTACTATTGACATACATATGAATCAACCTGAATAGTACCTCTGACTTTCCCCTCCCTCCAAATCTGTTCACCCCTGTAACAACAATTTACCACTGTCCTCACTCCCCAATCCACTCAGTTGTACAGATGACAACCTAGAAATAATCCTGGATAACTCCCCCCGCTGCTTACTCCCAACATGAAAGATATTATCAGGGCTTGTTGATTTCACCTCCAGGATACATCTTGAATGCAACCGTCTCCAAATGCACCCGCCATTTCTCTAGCCAAGCCACTGGACACCGCAATAACCCATCAGCCTCTCTGCTCTGTCCTTGATCCCTATAATCCATTCTATTCATAGTAGTCAGGGTGATTTTCTTAAAAATTTAACAAGCCACTCTGTTTTCTGTTTTCCGTGCCAATTATAAGACAAACTAATAAAATATAAGATAATGAAAATGAGATTTATACATCCCAAATAATGTTTACTGTCAATGTGGACTGGTTGTCTCTATCTTTAAGCTGAGAGTAATCTTTAAAAAATGTAAATGTAATCATTTCGCTTCTTAGACCTTCAGTAGTTTCTTTAGAGGGCTTCTTCTCAGTTCCTCCCTTCCCACCTCTCTCACTTTATTCAGATGAGCACTCCTCTCCCTCCCTCACTGTAGGCTTTCTTTTAGTTTTAACATGCAGAGCTCTTTCCAGCCCCCACTTCCTTTATCTGGAATGCTTTTCCCTGATTTTTTGCTTAAGAAACATCTCTTTATCCTTCAGGTTTTACTTCAAAAATTTTTTCCCTCACCATAACTGAAATTAAATTCCTCTATTATTTCTTAGCATAGCCTTTCTTAAAGCATTTACCACAATTTGTAAGTATATATTTGTATCATTTTTTGCTTAATCTCTACCTTCCCATTATAGTTTAAGTTCTACAAGGGCAGGTCTCTCACATCCTGCACAGAGAAGGTGCACAATAAACACTCAGTGGGTAAACAGAAATGCTGTGGGAGACGCGAACAAACCCATGAAGATTCTGCGATCAGCTGAGCAATGAAATACTAAAGTGAAATTATGGGTTTCCCAATTTTTGCTTAAAAAAACTTGGCAAATTTAAATTTTATAGGACCCCTATTTTACACAAAAACTCTCTTTTCTTCCTTCAAGTTAATAGCTAGAAATAAGACTGACAAAATCTATAAATGAAGAGGTTAAGTTACTGCAGTTTGCTTGCAAACAGTAGACAAGTTCTGGCACTTTGCTCCTCCTACCAAACCCTGTTATTGCTACTAGAAAGCCTGTATCTATTTTAACCATGTGCACATTTGCACATGTATGTACACACACACACACTGGATCTAAAGCATAAAGACATTCATTCTAAATCACATTTCAGGTATGATGGCTTGCACAGTTCTAAGTGTTTATATATAAAAATAACAGGTTCAATTGCCTCTAAAACCCCTTTGAAAAATGAAATTATACATCTCTCATCTTGGAAAAACTTGTTCTCAATTTTCACCAATTTAGCAAATTCCATATACTTCAATTATTTCTATAGTGATAGTTGTTCTGTTTCAATAAATGTTTTCAAAATAGCTTCTCTACATTTTTATCAGTTAGTAGTTCTGACTAGGGCTATGGTTTAGATTTCTCCTTTTGCAGATTCAGGCATCTTCTTGCTTCCAGATAGTCCATAAAATAACCATGCTTCAAAGATGATGGGAAACCGGGCCTCCCCGGTGACGCAGCGGTTGAGCACTGGGTTGTGAAGCTGCCCACAGCCTCTGCGGCGCCGGTTCGATCCCCGGCTGCTCCCCGGCCACCGGAGGAGGGTCCCACATGGTGCGCAGACCTCTCCTGCGGTCCGCTGCTCCCCTCAACAGTGTACTTTGGTCCTT